CATGCTAATCTGGAATTCTAACTGAAACACACACATCCAGTTCCCCCCCTCCCTGTAGGCTTGCACTTCAGCTGTTTAAACCAAGTTGTAATCAGTTTCCTTGTCTTCCCTGGTATTTGAACATGAGCCACACATGCTCAGGTTAAACAAACTCTGCTAAAAAATGTTTGGGTTTGGGTTTACTTTTGTCTTCTCCGCCCCAACCCCACACACACACAGAGGCAGACCCCCAAAGCCCTGGACAAATGTTCATTTTTGCTGGCATCTCTGGCAGCAGTTTCTGATCCCAGGGTGCTGTTGGAGGACCAGTCTGAGAGTGTTCCCCAATGTGATTTGCCTCAAATAGACTAAGGATAGATGGCGAGGGAATAACTAACCAGTCGACTTTTGAGGATGCCTAACTTAAATCTAAACACGTTTGTATTTACTGGTATAAATCTTCCTTGGACACACAGGCACTACCTTTGAATCAAGCCTGACACAGGGTTAGCAGAACTGACTCCCGCACTGCTTTCAGTTTGAGTTTATAGAGGTCCAAAGGTTTGCATCGGTGGGCAATAGCAACATCTACAACAGGAAGCACAGTAAACATGTGAAACTTGTAAGACTTTGGTACCCAAGATAAAGTTTAGTTACCTTTCTACCTCCTGCCAATGGTAGCAAGTCTGGATACCAAACAGTTATATGCAGGTATGTTACTTTTTCCACTGAAGATATTTTCTCTGTTTCACTATCCAGCATTATTTCCAATCTTACTCCCTCAAAATATGCTTCCTTAGGATCGCTTGCATCTACCTAAAACATATCAAGACTTACAGCATTTTTAAAATTTACAGAAATCATACAGTATTGAAAACTGCTTGAAAAATAACATTTCAAAGTTGCCAAGAGTTACTGTTTAACAGCAATTTACAAACATAGTTGCGATTCTGTCTGAGCAGAAATTATCTATTGGCAAGCTTTCCTCAGTAGGGAACTACTCAGTAAACCTGCTCATTATTCTAAAATCCTATCAGCAAACAAACTTATTTAACTGGAATAATCTAAGCTGCACATCTTGAGAATCCTGAGGTCTTAAAATATACTTAAATATACAAACGTATACACAATATTGAGGAAAAAATAAAGAGCAAATTAAGTTTTATTTTACTTGCCAGACTTAATTACAAGATGTAGGGGGAAAACTGTAGGAAGTTGTCTTTAGAGAATGTAACATGAATATGACTTGTATCTTACCAGAAAGTAGACTGCAACTGCAAAACCAATCAGTTTACTGATTTAATTGGGAGAAAACATCCGTTTTCTTTCTGCAGATAATCCTCCAGCACCCAAACTGCCCATTTATGCCCGTCATATTTATGTTTATCATGTTCTATGTTTGTGTTTGCTAAGTCCCAACCTGACAGTTTCCATAACCAGCTGAACCATTCTCACTGCCCTGTCATAGGGAGTAGCTGTAGCAAAATTCAACAAATTTATTCAAGATTCTTTTCTCATTTGTGAATGTTTTCCGAGGGACAATGTCATACTCTGAATTTAAATTCTTTTGCTGAAAATTAAACCGTGAGCAGTTCAAGCCTATGTTCTCAATAGGCTTTTTACATGGGTATGTTTGTGCATTTACTCAAACATTTAAACATTCATAGAAACTACTAAGAGTATGTAAATGTTTCAGGATACAAACGTTTGTTTCTTTTTGCTCAGGGACTCAGACCACAAATAATAAACACAACTCAATCCGTTCCAACCTTTATCATCAAAAACAAGCAAGCAACCAGACTCAGGAAATTTTACATGATCAGCTCTCCTTTCAGTTTACATTTACCAGCCCAGCTTCCCTGTAAGACTTCAGCTGAACATAACGCATGACCCAAAATACTTCAAAGCAAATGACACCCAAGACATGCATTTCCTATTCTGATTCTGCATGGAGCTTTCTTTCCTTCTTCCTCTATTTTTTTAAGCCCAAACCCAACCTTTTAAGAATTACATTTCAGTATTCAAATGATCGCAATGACCTATCTTTACAGAATATTAGAAAGAACATAAGGAAACCTGAAAGAACAGCAATTCCTAATCGTCCTAATTTTCCCCAAATTTTAATGCTAATCCATTAGAGAAGCCACCTCCAGCAGGAACATAAGGCATGACTAACCATTGCTCGAATTTAACCGAGCTGATGTCTGTTTATAATATAGGAAATGAAGGCAAAAAGCAATGCAGTGAATCTGGTAACCGGCTGCTGTGGAAATAATTTTGTTGCAAATTCTTCTCACATTCTGATGGCTCCATGTAATATAAAGAGAATCTGTCCACCACAGCAGCCCCATCCTTGTTGGAAGCAGAACGAGTGTCATATTTTAAGTAAAACATTCACTTAAATATATTGCATTTAAATTTTTAATGCATAGGATATCTACACTTAGAACATCTAAAGATGGCTTAGAAGCAAAACTAAGGGACAAACTTTGTGTAAATATCTTCCCCCCCTTCCTGGAGCAAACATTTTCAGTCATATAGGGGATAAAAACATTTCTTTCCTATCAACTTTTGTTTGCACATTAAAAAATTAGGTTCCTCCAGAATATATAGCGTATGTTTCAATAACTTATTTTTTCAGTATGAAATAGCATCTTGAAAAAGATGACAAACAGCAGTCACCTTGAAATGATCCTCTGAAAATAAATATTACCTATAGAATCATATGGGACTATTAAGCTTAGAATCTGTGCAATTTCTTTTAAGTGAACTTTTGTATAATCAAAATGTAAACTACAAGATAGTTAGACTGAAGAATATTTTTGAAATATCAGCAAAAAGGCAAACAACGTATAATGTACAAATAAACAACACAGTAAATAAAGAACCTGCCTAGATGAAGGAGACTGCCTGTTCATAAAGTGTCTACTCAATTTGCAAAAAATATTTTTGTCTAGCATACCCATATTCACAGCATGTACTCAAATGCCAAGTCAGATTTTGTAACAAGAGTATATAAAGAAACATCATTTAGACACACAAAACATGAAATTTATGGTAATGTTTTTAACCAATGCTGCATCAATCACATTTATAATTTTTCTTATAGCATGTGATCAAATAAAACAGAAAACCAGAATGTATACATTGCTAATTTTTTAAGTAATGTTATGTACATTTTATTGCCAGTATATGCACAATGGTAAGCATAGAACTATAAATACACAATGTAATTAAACAGTAGAAAACAACAAGGATGTTACACGTAACAAAGGAACGAAAGAGGAGATACTATTTTCTTGATGTAGCTGCTAAAAAGGGCTAGCGGCGAGTTATGACAGTCTCGGTTTTAAGTCTTTACATATATTTCTACAACTTTTTCTCCAAATAAATCTCTGCAACGGCATTACTTCTTTAACAACCACTTCTTAGCTCCTTCTATTGCATTCACTTCAAACTAAAGTGAAAACAACCTTTCATGTAACTACAAGCATCTGACTTCATTTTTATTCAGTTTTGCTTTTCAGGGTTCCTAGCAAGTAAAGTGTATAAGTAGTTTCTTATGATATTTGGCTGCAACGTTGAAGAGTAGAGTTCTGAACACACATTAAATGATAATTTGGACAAAAAAAATATTTTCTATAGCTTTCATCAGGTGCTATATGCAGCAGCTCAGTCAAAAGGTAGTAACCCTGAAGAGGTAGAGAGAATTTTAGCCTGGCATAGATCATCATCCTTGGCACCGCTATTTTCTCTCTTATCAGGATACACTTCCTACAACTAGACAACACCACAGTCAAAAGGAAAAAAAGTCAGGAAACAAAAAGTTCCACCATTCCTGGGAAGGGCACTGTTTCATCCTAGCTCTCAGTTAATCAGCTTGCTGCTTATATCCAAGACAAGAAAAAAAAAAAAGGAAAAAAGAAAAAAAAAGACAACACTTAGGGACACATTTACTTGATCTTTGTTCTCTTTCCATTATCAAGTTCATAAATACAAAGAAGCATTATTCACAATAAACCAACTCTTTTTCAAAAATGGAAAAACAAACCCTGGAAATACTTCCACACCTTAATCCAGATGGGTCTTGAGGATGCTATTCAAGAAAACCATGCAAATAATTTGGTGCAGCTTTCCCAACTCATCCAAAATAGAGATCTTTTATTTATTTTTTTTAAATTAAAAGGTGGCAAGATCCATAGCATTTGTGACTATTCCCCCTCCCTCCCCATTTAAATGCAATGCAGAAAATCTTGGTGCTTTTAGGAAGGTAAGGAATAAATAGTTTTCTGCACTGTTGTCATAAAATCCCATGTGAGTTACAATACAAGACTACTTGTTCCAGCAATTAGGTTGAGAGGAAACATTCTAGTGATAAAGATAAATACATACTGAGCATGCTTGGGCAGAGCACTCCATTCTGAAGCATCCTGCTTGAAGAACGAAAGGTGACAAGGATGGTTCACGTCCATCAAGTGACCATTAACTCTGCTGCTAAAAAGCAGACTGCCACACTACCACCAGGTCGGCAATGCTGCCCTGAAAGGGCTGTCTTCCACATTAAGAGGTACTGGTTGTACCAGTCCCCTGCTGCGCACACTAAATTCTTATTTATGCAACAAACATACAACCAATGAACAATATCACTTTTACAGAACTGGATCAATCCAGCTTTTTTTATAGGCTTATTTCTCAATCTCCAGAATATCCCAAACAAGCTGTAAATAAGATGATGAACCACCAACACAGTGAACGAGGCTCACTGCAGTTCAGACTAGTTCAGCCTTGTTTCACATCACTTCTTGTTTCTAGCGAAGGACATGATACTCAAACAAAACAGCAATAAAAAAGTAATGTTATCTGCAGCTGAATAAAAGCAACAGAATTTATATTTTAACTTCTGAAGCTTAAAGCATACCTTTTTAATTAGCATTAAAAAAAAATCTCTTTTTTAATACAATAACACTGGCAAAAGTTAATGGGAAGACACAGAGGATTGCAAACAGGATATCTGATGGATTAGATTATTTTAAAATTTTATTCTGCTTTGATCAACTGATGTTAATACTGTTTCTCCTTGGATTTGGAATAATTCTATTGCAACAGTCACATGCAGGCTGAGGACAGCCGTTGGTTGAAGACAAAAAAAAAGGGGGGGGAAAACAAGAAAAAAGTTCCAAAAGTTGTATGTAAGAATTTTCCTTTCACTGAAGGGGGCTTTAGGAGACCTGGTTAATTCTTGTCAGCTTCATTAGCTTTGTCCAGACAGATCTGCTGTCGTATCCCCTGGTCCAGAGCCTGTTTGTGCACGTTTGATGTACAGGTTCAGTAATTTCATCTGCAAATTTAAGCCAGAAATTAACTTTGTTTAGTATTTGCAAACTGTACAGACTGCAAGTTAGTACAACAAAGGAGACATTACATCTTTTTTTTCCCCTAAAAGCAAAATTTTATTTTACACAGTTGATTCAAAGGTATCACACTTGCCAATGAAAACATCAAACACAGCAAAATCTGTCACAAGGAAACTGCTCAAGCTTCTTTAAGGATGCAAAGAGGAGAATGATCTAATGTAGCCAGATTAAGACAGATAGAATATTTTCCTTAAATTACAATGCTGTTCTAAAGAAGGTGGGCGTTTCTTTATTTCTTTTAAGTTAACATTAAAGTTTTAAGCCTCTAGTTAAGAGTTGCTGATGCTGCTATTTAGTACAGCTTCCAATACTGTCTAGAATCACACTCAACACAATCACTGCCAGGGATTTTGAAGATACACAAAATTAGTTGTCCTGTTTTATTCCTAAGGACAAAAAGATTCACAATTAACATACATTATTTTGCATACAAAAAGATGTAAGAGATATCAGTAAAATCATAAATATCCTGAACCCAAAAGGACCACACACTGATTACTATTAGCATTATTTCAAATTAGAGGTACTGAAAGGACTGATAAAAGCAAAATAACAAGGAGGGAGAATAAAACTGCTGTATATAACACATATACATACTACATTTACTGCTTTCCAATCAGAACTTGAACTAAAAACAAGACAAGAAATACTGACAGGAAAAGGCATGCTGAGTGCAGCCTCTATCACTGCTACTGGAGTTACAACCAGTAACTAAATCCATTAAACAGCAGTAAGAAACCCAATTTAACGTTTATTCCTAATGCTAAAGTTCGTACACTTGCATAAATAAAGATGTATGGATTTTCAGTTTTGAAGGTTTTTATGACGAAGTGATACTAATCCTTGGAGGGCTTCAGGAGCCCTGATATTCCATTCAAGAATATATCTTTATGAAACCTTCCATCAGCTGCAACCAAAATGTGAATGTATACACGCAATTATGAACCAAGATTTCTTTAAATGTTATCTTTTATACTTACTTTACTGCCAGTGAGTTGACTGAGATGTGGTTTTAGTTCATCACCAATTACTGCATGAATGGCTACAAGGCAGAAAACACATGCCTTACGAACACTGCTCTCTGAATTATCATAACCCTAGAAAGCAATAAAATTAACATTAATACCTTATCAGTTAATGATTAAAAGTCTCAGAAGCTATTTACTTATTTACTATGAAAAATACATTGAACTCTACAGTAAATGAATGCTAGTGTATGCCCAATGAAGCATTCCAACAAAAAAACAAACACGCAAACACAGAGCACGCACTTAAAAAGCAGGCTGCTTATTCATCACCATTGATAACCATTTTCCAGACTGAAATTAAAACCCACGCAACCCTGTTCATAAGTTACACTGAAAACAGAGCTGCTGCCATGCAATAGGGGAGTATGTAAGAGAAACTGTTCCTAGATTATACAGATACTTACATAGACTGGAAGACCACTCAATTTCGAGCTTCCTTACTCCGAAAGAAGTATTCTCCTAACAGTTTAAGATCCTTTCATTAACTCCCGTCTCATTCCTTAGTGATTTTTCTTTCTTTTGCCACTTTGCTAGTACCCCTTGGCTGCTGTCTCACTCACACCCCCTTCTCAGAGGGCCCCTTCTCTGTCGCTGCCTTCCTGCAGATGTTACAATTGGATCCAACCCATTAAAGACAGCAACCTGCAGAATGCAGCTGCCAAACTCTGAATTCTTTATCCATCACGTGCAAATCAAAGTATCTTGGCTGATGAGGTGGGAAAGAATTTATTTGTGAAGACAAAAGAAGAGAAACCTCCGATATCCTTCTAGTTTTATTAAACTTTCCCCAATCAACTGCTTCTTTCCTCTTGCCTCCCCCAAACACCAGGTGATAAGACACTACAATTATACACAAGTACAGCATGCACATTTCAGACCAAATGATTACAGCTTGAAAAAAGATACAAAAAACCCCCAAACCTTATAGCTGGAAAGTATCTACCAAGCTTAACTATAACCGGTACTTTATATCCTACTGAGATTTCCTTTTGAGTCCTAACCACAATTATAATTAAGCTACCTGCCAATCAAAGAGTTTGTTCCGACTCTCTGAGTTATTTTGGGTCAAATATTATTTTCAAGAAATCTTTGCAACACTTACATATACAGTTTCTTTTTTTGTTTGTTTGGGGTTTTTTGTTGTTTTTTTCTTTTTCCTTCTTTACTTCTTGTCTCCTTACCTGTATTAGACCTGGCACAATCTCTGGTAAAAGCTGAGTCAGGGTTTCTTTAGATACTCTTTCTATGACTTTGGTCTGCATTTTGATTGCAGCCAGATTAATGGGGTAATCTGCAGTTTGGATAATTGGACAAAGAACTTTGATGCACTGATCTGGGCTAATGGAAGTGGCCAGCATGGAAGCAGCTTCTTCAGCAGATCTCACCACCTATTGAAAGAATAAGTAAAGCACATGGAAATATTATTTACGAGTTACTATGGCCTGTTATCTGGAAGTAATAAAGCATAAAGATTTCTTACCGAGAGCTGTACAATATTCTAGAAATATGTGAATGAAGAGCCCTTTAAAAATCTGTTAGCAAGATTCCAACTATTGGACATACTTTCCTAAAAACAAGACTCTCCCAATATTCTGTGGCTAATCTATGTTCTCGGCAATATGCACAGCAGTTTTTTAAACCCGCTTGTTGAATCGAATCTGAAACTTCTCTATTCTGCAATACACATCCACTACATATTGAAATATCACCACCTTCATAAACCTGTGATTTCTTGCATTGTTGTTTGTTATTGCTCGTTAGATCAGCGATCACTGACAAGTTTTCACATTCATCTCAAAAAGATGTTTAATGACATGCCTAGATTGCTGATGAGGAGCTCTAGGAGTCAATCTAGCTGTTTGTCATTTCAGAAAGTTTGAAAGAAACTATGAAAGAAACTAAGACAAGAGAATACTTTAAAGCCTGAAGAATAGGCAGAACAAGAGTAATTAGGTAGGAAATCAACCGGTACAGAAGCTCAGGATACAACATAGGCACAACAGAGAAAATGCACATCTGATCTTCATGTTAGTGCAGCTGTGGCATCTGTGATCTAACAACACAAACCACTGTACAAAATCAGTGGTTTGTCCAGTGATGTACAAAAACTTCCATAACTGTTCCTTTCCATCCTTGTCCACTTTAATCTCTCATTCATATACACAAAACCAAGACAGAAAAAAGCACAGTAACAGAGAAGGAAAGATGGGGAAGAGACATTGTAATAAATTCAGTATATGAAACAAATCAAAAGGGTGCAGGAAAAAGAGAAATGAGTATCAGATGAGTGATAAAAGTCATTGGGATGGGACAAACTGCAGTCAGACTTCAAAACCTGGACTCCACAATAAGTTCCATGTGAAGTAAAAGTCCTTGCATGGGGAGAGCAAGGAGAAGATGTACTCATCTAATAACAAACCTGGATTCTTTCTTTAGCATCAGTGACACTGATGTGAACTGTTTAATATTAGCATGGTTACTGCGTTTCTTACATCTACGTGCATTATCCTTTATTGTGTATGCATGCACCACAAATACGTCTGAACAAGATTACAGTTCACCTTCCTAATTCTGAATCACCTCACTACTCTCAGCCACAGCCAACTCCTCCCTTTGATAAGTTCCCCTGCATCCTCCTCTAACAACACTCATGAGCACAGCATGCTCTCCAATAGCAGAGCTGGCTAAAAATGGAAAGGTTTGACAATTCCTTGCCATGTCCAGTCTCATCTCTCAACCCTGAACCCTGATGAAATCCAAAAGCTTGCTGTAGAGCTCCAGGACACCTCTATCTAGCATAAAAGGATAACCCCCTCCAGTTACCCCTTGAAGAGCTATAGTGACACATAACTGGTTACTATGTCCTTCTGGACAGCACCCAAGGCAATTGTTACTAGGGTTGATATTAAGCATTTGAGAGATTATAAAACACATTATTTCCTCAGTAAGATCTGACTTATTTCTCAGACATGTTTTGGACAGTTGTTTCATTTCATCATAATTTGTCAAAACCTCAAACAGACAGAATAACTGATTACTAACCTCCTTATGAGGATCCTTATGTGCTTCTAATGTCTTCATGATTGTGAGCTCTGCGTAGTTCTTAAACCTTGCTGGCTGGTTTCTTAGAATTTCTCTTAAAACTTTCAATGCCAAAGCTCTAATTGCATGCTAAAGATTTAATATTAAAATAAATGAGTTATGTATCATTAAACAGAGATAAGTTTTAACATTAGTTCAGCAGCTGGAAGAGTCTTTGATAATGGGAAAGTATCATTATGCTCTATGCATATATACAGTATGAGTCTTGTGTTAACAAAGCTAGAAAAAAAAATCTTTAATTTCCTGCTTTTCGATATCTCTTTCTGAATATAATTCAACTGCAACATCATAAACATGTTGCTAGCCTAATTGAGCTACCTGTGCTACCCAGAAGTTAAGCCGAAACAATTTCACTCATCATAAGTGCTGATAAAACCTTTAGCATTACATCACACAAATACATTTTTGAATTTTGTTTTTCTTTACAAATTATTATTTTTTTAAAATCAAAAACAGGTATTAAGTGTATTTTTGATCCTCAGTAATTTCAAAAACATGGCTCTTGTAGAGAACAATTACACAGAATTCAGTTTTTTCCACAATCGGCATTCTGTACTTTAGAAAGATGTTGTTAAATGCTTTGCCACACGTGGTGTTTTGACATGAAAGATTCCACCAGGGGCTATTAACAGACAAGTTTTGAAACCCAGTGAAAAATGTTTCATTTCATCTATTGTGTGAGAGTCAACGAATAAGAACACTGGAGAAGGTAAGCGTTTTTCACCATCAGGACATTCAGACTTCAAGATATTTTTGTATTTCCACAGTTGTTTTGTTTTTCAAGACCAACTGGAATTTTGCCCTTCCTACAGCCCATACAGATTTCAAAGACACTGAGAGTAAACCATGTGCTTTGCTAACACTCTCAACTAGATTAATCTGAATTTACCTCTTTGTCTCCAAGTGTTTCAAGCAGCAAAAGTAGTATTGTTTTGAAGTGCTCATCCCAAACACCAAAAGACTCTTCCTGAGTTAACTTCATGAGCTCGTACAGGGCAGTCTTTCTTTCCTCAACTCTCTCATTATGGTTTGATAACTCTTTCAGTAACTCTGCAACCAGATCAGAATGGTCCATGGGAGGCTCTGTCAAAAAGTAATACAGAAACACAGTTCTCAAACCACTGCAAATAAGTATTAGTACCTGCTGTACAACTGAAGGGTATTTTCTAGGACAGATGGCTGGCTTTCTTGCATGCTTTTATTTTGTTCCCCAAATTTGTCCGCAATAATGCAATTTGGCTACTACATTTTCAGTGCAGCCAACACTGCTGAACAAGCTTACAATCATCAAAAAACCCCCACAATGATATTGCAAAAAACCCTGTAAAACTGCTTTATGGCAAGGTTTTTCTAGACTTGCAATATCCAAAGTGGTAAGTACTCCATGTCCTTTTAAATCTGATCTATACACATGGTTCTTCCTCTCCTGTATGACCCTTCCATCCAAGATGATAAATTCGTCTTTTTCTCTACTTCTATTAAAGAATTGCTTAGACTTTTGTAAGCTGTGATTCCCAACAATAGTCAGGCTGTTAACACAAACAGGGGAAAAAAATGCACAAGAATGGTGCTTGGTACAAAAAAAAACCAAACAGAGTAGAAGCAAACCAAGGCCTTTTGTCTCACAGAGATTCCCAATAGCAGCCATTACAAGATTTGGATCTGGATTTTAGTTTTAATTAGAGAGAATTTAATGATGATGGAAAAACACATTAGTAACAGCACTCGTATTTGTAAACACTGGACCTCAAACAAAGTTCTACAGTCAAAAAACTTAAAAATGGTCTTAATGAAAATTAAATACCAAGTTGTTGCTTATAAGCTATCACCAAGACCCATTTAGCCTTGAGGAAAGAAAAGCACATACCTTCCGTCTTTGCACTGAGACACTTGCACAAATCAACAGAAACATTTTTTTCTGGCAAAAGATTGAAAGTATTGGCATAAAATGCAAGTGTTCCTGCACTACATCTTTCCTAAAATTATTCAATTTATTAGCACATGAAATACATCCTCCACATCAAATTTATTAGGTCACCACATTAGAAACCACAGCCCTTTAACATCTTCTTTTACTGCACTCACACAGTAACTTTAAAATGCCTTACAAAGCACCTGTGTTAAAAAAAAGTAAAAGCTGAATACCACATATCAAGTACCTTAAAATCACCCATCAGTTACCTTAAAAATCAGTTTTTGTACCCAACATTCTATTTGCATTCTGCTTTGCATGAATTATCAGGAGCATAAGCACTTGAAAGCAGAAATTTTCTTCTGCAAGCCCTTCTACTGCCTCTAGGTTAATGCACACTTTTCAGACTCTCTAAATGGATCATTAATGTCTGCCTAAAGGACAGACTGAAATTGCATTAGGTGAGTTATTAATTAGTACATATGAGCAGAACGGACAATCACTTTTACAGAACCAAGATCATTACTTATATTACCAGAACTATTACACTTGTTCTACCAGACAGTGAGGATTACAGCTATAGTAAATCCTATTTTGGGGAATGCATATTGACACATTATTAGCAAAACTACCCATATCTGTTTGAATAAAGTTATTTTCACTGTGGATGTATCTGAACAGAAGAATTTACAACTCGAACATATGGAAGGAAGGCATAAAGAGAGGAAAAGACAGCAGCCATGTCCATGCAGGAATAACGGGAGGAAAGAAGCTCCAGTAGTGGAGGAAATAGCTGGAATTTCTGAGAAATGCAATTCCCAGTCTGTATTTTTCCATTCCTCTGCATGACTTAGCACCTAGTGTTTCATTTCCAAACATTCTCCAAATAAGAATGGAGAAGCGTATTCAAAAGCCTACTCTCAAAATTTCTGTTTCAGAAAGCAAGTGAAACACAAAATGAGGAGCAGCAGATGCAACTCCTTCATTTGAATGAATTAAAATATGCATTAGAAATATAAATATTTGATGAAGAACAGCTCTTCTCAAACCAATCAAATAATATCCTTTTGACAGGGTAAACTGTGTAGGGGTGAAAAGGGAACACATAGGTATGTCCTGAATTTAGTAAAGATTTTCCTACTGCTATCCACAGCATCTTAATATTGAAGCTATGCAAACATGGTGGCCAAAAAAGACAATGAAGTGGGTGGGAAACTTGATGAATCACTTGCAGGGTGATTGGACTATAAATGGCTTTAGTAATCCAAGAGGATATGAGTGATGTCCCTGCTCAGGTCTCTGCAGATTGTGGTTCTGTTTGATGCTTTTGTTAATGATATCAAAGGAATATGGAGACCACTTATGAAATCTGCAGACGACATCAATTTAAGAGCAGTTACAAACATTCTAGAGACCAGGATAAAAATTGAAAATTATCATGAAAAATCAGACAAATGGTCTGAAAGAGAAAGGACGGTAAGTGTAAGGCACAGAAGCAGAAATCTTAAGCCCATATACAAAGCGGCAGGTAAAAAGGAAGATGCTTGGAAAACACAATCCATGGCAGTAAGCTGAAATAAGTAAGCTGCTCGGGACACTCTTTTCCAACCAGAGACTGTGGACTGCTTTTAAGGAGTCTGGAAGTGACTTAGAAAACCAGGTTTCCCTGTAATTCAGATGAAGAACATCTCCCTTGGGGTGGGGAGCGGAATGTTAGTGGTTAGAAGATTTAGGCTGTGACTCTGAAAATTCTTTTACTGTAAGAGAGGTCAAACACTCAAATGGCCATGTGGAGTACACTCTGGCATCTCCTCCACTGGAAATGTTGTTAAACAAACTGTCTGCAGAATACAGGTTCACGCCTCAGAGCTCCTGACAGGACTACAGGAGCAGCTACGGTTTTCCCATCTAGCCCTGTACTTCCACATCTTTCTCCAAGTAACACACGAGAGGACAGCTGGGAGTCCAGTAAAAACAGGACTTGAATAGAGGAATGAATGCAAGTACTTTGATAAGACCCATTAAAGAGCAGACCTAAATAATGCATTGCACTACTCTCCAGCCAGGACAAGCTAATGCTGGATGGGGATGCTTCACTCCAGCCAATCAGAGTTTCTACAAAACCAGAACCTGCTGGTGCAGCACAGATTGCATGTGGTCTAATGTCATATCCAGAAATACGCTGTCAGGAGGTATAAAGAGGCTTATCTCATGTAACAGTGATTCAGAATCTTGATCATAAACTGCCTCTGTATATGCATGACAAAGGTATTGAATTACTGATGTTTACATTACATTATTTGTGAAACTTTGTTTCCCCCCTCAATCTTTTTCAGAAGACAATAACTGGCCACATGCCTCTTCACTAAAGAGAAAACAAAGAGAAATGCAACTTACTTGGATTTGGTTTTAATTTAACAAAAACTTAAAGTCACTTATAGACTAGCTGAATAAGACACTATGTCAGAAAATAGCTTTGTTTTTGAACAGTTTCTGTAACACATCTTTGCTGGATGACAGAAACAAAACAGTCAGAAGGGGGGAAATTAATTTGTCCCTCACTATTAAGAAATTTGTTTACTTAAAACCTGATTTTAATCTGGTAACTGAATATGAAATATCAACAATAATGAATACCAGATTATGAAAACTACCTACTACTTTTTAAAACAACAATAGCAGTGGTACTTGGGAACCTTCCCAACATTTAGATATAAAAAACTGCCCAAAAATATACCAAGAAATATTTAAAAGTAGCTCTAGAGTCTACTAAACAACAGCCCAAGTTCCTAGACTTACATGGGCTAAATGAACGACCTTTCTGGTAAAAGCTGGAGGGTTTTTTATTTTTTTTTTCTTTTTAAAGAATGTTTAGTCAATAGAAAACAGTGATGCCATGTTTCAAATACAAATATATTACTAACAAAATACTTAATCTTTCACCTAATTCCCAGACTGGTTTGATCCTGTTTTACTTCCTTGCTGTATCCCCCCCCACCTCTCTTTTAAATTTCAATCATAAAGCAATCTGGTAAGTAAATTTATATTGACAGAACTGCTACTGGATGTGCTACCAGAAGTATACAATATAGTTCAGTATTTTATCTCATTTTTACCTTTAATCTCTACAAATACCAAGTAATCCAACAATGTCACTCAAAAGGATTACCAAAATAAACTAATTTGAAATACAGCATTTGTAAAAATCTCTCAAAGAAGTGGCACTGGTGACACATGTATTGCTAATAATAAATCCAGAAACTGAACTAAAAGATGGAAAAATCTCAATTTTTCTCCTAGCACAGAATGCAATCTGAAGCTCACCATCAGGAAATTGCTCTGCATCATCATCGAACATGGCTTCTTTCAAAGCAGATTTATTAAACGAACTGATACCATCAGAATAATTGTATGGGTTATAATCTCGTGAACGTGGTGAAGAGTGGGGAGGCATTGTGTTGAGTAATGATGTTTTGTTATCAAGAGCAGTCCGGCCTGTATCGCTCACTCCACTTCCTGCTATTCCAGACGCACTGCAAATCTGCATGAAAAGAAATACCATATGAGCATATGAAATACACAGTGACACTTTCCAATTAACTACATTCCTAATTCATCTATGCAGCAAAAACTTACAAATTTCAAAAAAATTCAAATTTCAAAAATTGCAAACTAGCCTTCACATAAGATGTTTTAGGAGCAGTTCTCTAAAATAATGCATGAACTACAAACAGCTGTCAGTATTTTATCTCAGGAGTTTGATCCTAAGTAATTAAAAACAGCAGCACAGAATGGTGGGGGTTGGAAGAGACCTCTGAAGATCATCCAGTCCAAACCCCTGCCAGAGCAGGATCAACCAGAGAAGATCACACAAGAACACGTCCAGGGCGGTTTTGAATGTCTCCAGAGAAGGAGACTCCACAACCTCTCTGAACATGTTCAAGCATGTACTTTTTTAAGGGTCTTGACGATTCTGAAAGCCAAAGTTCCACAGAAACAGAAGTTTAAAACACTGCATGTAGCATTCAAAAATCCCCTGGTTTTGTACAGAGTAAAATAAAACACTTGGAAAAACATATATTAAGGGTACAGACCTCTCAAAAACTGAATTCCAGCTGTTTTGCAAGATAATCTATTTTTAAATTCCTAACATTTTAAAGAAACAAACAGCTACTGCTACTTAGAATTAGCATTTACATTTCCAAAATGTGGCTCAAGACTAGAAACATATTTTTCTAACACTTTGAAGTAATTTAGGAGAAATGTCTCATTTCAGAAGTCATAACATAAACCTACAGAAAAAGATGCTTCATCCTCTGTAATAAGTCATTCACTGGCTTGGTTTGCCGATACCAAGATGCACAGAGTCTGAATACTCACCGAATCACCATCATCTTTTTTGGAATCTCGTTTTACAGGCTCATTCATATCTTCCTGACTACGAAAACTGAAATTCTGAATGGCTTCAGTGACTCCACGAAGAGAGCTGTAAATATCTTCAGAATTCATATTTTCAGTGTCATAGTCAAATGCACTGTGGGCCACAGAGAAGGACATAGGAATTAAGATAGATTTATTTTGTGACCTCTTTTTTTAAAGTAACATTACCATAGAACTACAGAAACTCAACCCACAGTAATAAAATTATTATTTTCCTTTAAACACATTTAGGAAGAAAGCTGGCTCTCCATATATGAAACCTGTTTTATGGTACATCTTAGTAAGTATTCTGCCACCCATAGAGAAAGCACTGTGAGTAGCAAGCTAAAGGGCGGGCCACATTACGTAGCAACAACTACCTGAAGAAACAAACTTGGGGCACAGCCCTTCCTACCTCAGGCCAGCCCTGGCACTTGTCAGACCCTCTGGGGAAGCTAGGCAGCTCACTGGACTGTTATTCCCACTGAGGGAGGGGGATTATTTTTCAGCATCTGTCATTTGGTGCAAAACTTTGCTCCACATTTTCTCTGTTGGGGTTACAATTTTGGGTAACGTGTAAGGAAGCTTTAGATGCAGAACTGTAGCAACATCAGCCTACATTACCTTGGTGACAAAGTGTTCTGTGATGTATTGGTTGGGGAAGTGAGGGGACTTGACCAACTTGCTGGGGAGCGTGGAGTAGGTCTTGTTAAAGGACTTCCCATTGATCCCTGGAGAAGGAGAGGTGAGAAAAGATACTTCAGTAGGACTTCAGCTTCCCTTCTAACTTACTATTTCATTTATTTTCTAGTGCCCAGAAACATTTAAAGACCTTCAATTTAATTTCTTGGACTGACTAACCAATTACTCCTAATTTCAATCAGGTATAACTTTGAAATGACTAAAGTAAAAGATAAATTACTCTTAAAAGGCACATTCAAAGTTAAGTAACTTGGAAGCAACATAGACCTAGAAAGTACCGCTCTCTGGAGTGGGAAGAGTGATATCTGCTACTAGATCTTCTACAGAGGATTTGGGTTGTTTCCCCTCCTCTACCAACCTTCTCGCTCTCACAAACACCTCTACTGACATGGACATGTTCAAAACACCACTAACTTCAGAAAGAATAGTAAGAGAGGTGTAGGCACCTGACCACTGTTGCCTGTATTCCGGAGATGATTATGGAGAAGCTTTGTGGCTCCATCCTGAAATGTTTTTGGTAAAGCACCCAATAGCATTGTAAACTCTGGAGTGTTGAGTTCAAAAAGGGAAATCAGCACTGACTGTGCAGCCTAGAAGAAGAAAATACAGATTGAAGACATTAATTTGAGTTTCTAAAGTAATTTTATTTGCAAGAAATGCTATAATGAGTAGTAATCACAAACTATGACGTAAGTCTTGATCAAGCTTGAATAAAGATGTTAACAGAAGTGAACAAAAGCAATTCTTATTTGTTGGCAAGGTGGAAGTTCAGATATTGATAAATCCAGGCACAAAACAACGAGCTTACACTTTGCACAATCATTTTACCAAGCAGTCTTTCAGAAAGAAGCTCCTCAATGCCAGATTCTTGCTTACTAAAAAAAAAGTCCTGAAGGAATTAGCAAAATGGCTTTTAAAGGGTTTGGCAAATTGAACAGATTTAAAGAAAGGAATGGAATACACCAGGCAGGAACAAGCCTGCAATTCCTTCTACTGAGTTCTGCAAGGAGTAATTACAAGTGCTGGATATTCAACACAATAGCTTGAAAAGGAACAGTCACTGCTTTAGAAATTAAAAACAAGCGAACAAAACCCCAAAAAAACCAAGAACAAAAAAGCAGATACCCGAATTTGCAGTAAGACAGTCTTGATTTTGAGTTGTAGTCATAGCACTTGATATTCTTTGTAACTTATCCTATAGACAAACTAGTTAGTTAACCTTCCCCCTCTTTCCTGTCCTGCTTCCTTTATCTTTTAAAAAGACAGGCAAACATCGTGAGCAGTAATTTAGTTGACTACATATTCTAAAGATGAAAACTGTTAAGCACTGGAGTTTGTAGTTTACTGGATGTCACCTCCCACATTCCCAATTTTAATAGTTCATCTTTAACATCATCCTCATCCTACAGCATGTTCTACTATATATATTTTATCAGAATAAGAAGTTGGAGCTCTTTACTGACAAAGCAACACAGTGGGTTACACAACAGTCAGGTTTTCTCTAGTAAAGGAATGTTGACTGGAAGACTTGGCAATGTTTGCACACTCCGATGAATATCCACTGGAGGGTCTAACAAACCCATCAACATAGCAAGTAAACTTACATACGCAATGAAGGGCTAGAGATTAAGTTCTCCAGAATTGTTTAATAGTTTCTTTGTAGAACAAAACTCTGATGCCAAGATTAACCAACTATGTCTAGATTATACAGCTCGCCATCAAGGTCTGCCATGCACTGGAGAGAACCAGTGCCTCACGCCAGACAGAATGATAGGCAGCTTGCTTAAGCAGCAATATACTCCAAGCAGGTAGTTTAGAAAATTCTTTTAGACATTTATTCCCCTCCTTTTGCTTCCAGAGCAATGAACTGTAGCATTTTTTAATTAAAAGTGGAAAGCCAAGGTATGAGCACACATACCAGCACACATCTAAGTATTAAGTTTAATGACAAAAATACTAGCATGTTACATTGCCACAAATTATCTTTGCACGCTCGTGACTGGCTGTTTTCTTTAACTTTTATTCCCTTCTCCCTCTGATAGCCTTCCCTTCGAGTGAACACCCCGAATGCTCTCTACAATCTGTCTTTAATGTTTCTCTTTTCCTTGTTATTTCTTATGCTCAGTCTTCTAATAGAAACTGATACAAACCAAAACCAAAACAAATACAGAAACTGAGCAAAGGCTTAGGAGTTACTACTTTCCTATTTCTGTCTTGTTATCTATGTCTCCACTCCATATCACTGTATCTATTTAAGCTTCCAGTAAAAGACAACGACAGTCCAGTGTCATATCAGGGACAAAACCTTATATTATCAAGTCTGCTGAAAACAAAGTTCAACTCAAAGTATCAAAATTGACATTGACTCACAGAAGGTTTTCAACTATGCAGTCAGCTATTTTTTCTCTCTGCCTTTTCCTTGACAAAAAAAGGTATTTTAGAGTATTTGGAGGTTTTTTCCCTCCTCATCATAAACTCTCTCTCTTGAGATTTAAGTCCAGTCATACAGACAACATCTGCAGTAAGGATTAGAAATATTTTTTGTTTTGTTCTTAGAAGAACTCTTAAGATTCTAATTCTTTCCAGAAGAATTTTAATCTTAGAAGAAATCTTAAGTTCTGAAACATGGAATTTTACCTTCCAGAAAGAAGTCCCACGTCACTGAACTGCACTAAGAGTGCCCAACTTCAGATAAATAAAATTTAAAAAGGATTCTTCACAATGCTTAGTACTGGAAGTGTTTTTACTAATACAAGCCCAAACCCATAAATTACACAGAAATACACTTGGTAAAACCTTTTAATGTAATGAAATAGTACTAAATGCTATAACCTTATTGAAAGAAATAAAAAGCCTGTGATAGCTGGCTGTGAAGCCTGTTAAGAAACATCTCATATCATCAGAATAATTCTTCTGACTACTTATTGATGAAATTTTATTTTAAAGAGTTATTAACAGCTTTTGGCAGTTAGTTGCCTCTAACAGCTGTGTTATGGAAAGAAAAAATAAAATGAGAAAACTTCAGATAATTAAGGTGTCTCAGATGATTAAACTCACTGGCAATTCTTTCTGTGATTCAGTTACTTATTGACATAAAAATGCTTATTAGAGATATGAACCATCAGATAAGACAGCTTGCCACGTGTCTCAGTACTAAAACTTTACTGATTTGGAAGATAGTGCTGCTTCAATTCTCTTACTGGTTTATGGTCTTATATATGTCACTAGAACATGGCACTAGGCAAGAAAAGTCCATAGGATATAATCTATTACTGCTTTCTCCTACTCATTAAGTTATGTAAGAAGTGAAAGACAGAAACATTATCTTGAATATAAACTCTGTGGTTTTTTTATTACATATTACAAACACTGCAGATATGAAGAAGTTGTGAAAGTTATTTTAATTTTTGTTCTCTTTACATTACACACTTTGAGACAGTTCATGGCACCTATGAGCCATCAATTAAATATATTTATTTAGCATTCAAAAAGTGTTAGCATGCAGCTAGGATAATGGCAGCTAGGACAGAATGGCTGGTGATAATCAGAACGACAACAAAAAAACCTCTTCAAACTGCAAACAAAATTCAAAGACTTTTGCTTTCTATAACTAGGATGACTATTTAGAAACTCTTTCCAAAGACTGCATTAGTACATTTCTCATGGTTATTCTGTATCTCTGGTATATCTACGTAGCTCACAAATACTAATTTTTACTTGGCAACAGTTATGTGGAAATGGGAGCTTTGCACTGGAACTGCATTACAAGAACAAACCTTTGATGCTACCTTACTAAAGCACAAACTTTCTTTTGTCAAAGGGTCAACAGTTATTTACCTACCTTTTATTAAACACAAAGGATTCGAGAAAATCCAACAGAGACGAAACTGAGTTTGCTACCAAACTTACCATTCCTGTTATGAATATGTTATCAGTATCGCAGAGAGTGGTTTCTGAAGTAGTACTAGAACTGTATAGAAAACGCCCACTGAAGAGATTTTAATACCAGACAGTGCTTGAAACGAAGTTATTCCTTGTATTATGAAAGATGATCTCAACATACTAACATACACACATAAAAACACAAGCCTGAGAGTTCCAAGATGTGTTAATTTTAAATTTTTACTTAAACATTTTTAAAAATATAATTTTTGGCACAGTTTTACTTTGTCAATTCTGATACTTTATACAGAACAGTTAGGTGCGTTTGCTGCGAAGGACATAAAAGTTACCTTTTCTCAAAGATATCTTTTCTCAAAAAAAGAATAAGATAGTTTTTAAAGAAAAAAGAAGGGGTTTTTGGTTTAGGCAAATAACACTAGCTTCTGTAATTTGCCAAGGTACTTGGAATGTACTGCAATTCTAAGCACGCTTTAACAAACATACCTTCCTAACATCTGAGCTTTTAGGTTCTGTGGTCCAGGTGATGATTCGAGACACTGCTAACCTCGTTTCACTTGAATTTACAAAGTCTCCTGGATCCATCTGTTGCGCAAGAGTCTCTATGTACTTAAGGATTGCAACTTTGACCTGCAAAGAGAAATAAAGTCAGGTGGACAATAAAAATGGTGTGCTGCAAGAACAAGAGTGCTCACAGAGTGGAGCGTTCATTCTCTAAAATAAAATAATTTTTTCCCAATTAAACTAAACGTCTTTTCAGCATTGATATAAAACTCTACACAAGAAATCAATTTACAAATGGATATAACATTTCAAGAAGGGAGTTATTCCACAGAAATTCAAACATTAATAGAAATCTTAAATTTCACTGGTAGCAACTAAAAGATTTGCATGTGCGGAAGCTTTAATGTAACAAAAAGAAAACCAAAGTACTCAGAATATTTAGGAATAATCACGATTTTAAAGAATTATTTGGAATTATTTTTCAAGTACTAAAATGAAACATGAACATCATCTGATGAACCAATAATCAGTTCTTATTAGTTCCTACCATGTAGCTAACACTCAGCATTCTTCTATGAAACAGAGCTGAGTAGTCATTATCTTTAGAGATAAGCCACATGAATCTTCCCGTTAAGTACTAAAAAGGCATAGTATTAAAAAGGCAATAGAATTTCTACAAAGGACTTGGAAGAGGTCACATGCACACTTTTCCTTTGAAGATATTTAGAAGACAGAGACATGGATTTACTGGGAAGACAGAAAAGCCGCTTTACTCCCTCATTTACCTGAGCACTGTCCTCCTACTCAACTATAGCTCTCTCTACTCCTCAACGCAGAATCTGTTTTATACATCCCAGAGTGCAGTACCTCTCTATTTCCCCCAAAATCACACCACTGCATAGCTTTTGGCAAAGGGCTTTTATGCTGTATCTCCTTTAAATATTTATCTCCTCAACTCCTGCTGCTCAGAGGTTTGTCACACAACCAATCAACAAAAGTGGTGAACATTTATCATTTCTTCAGGCCACTTATTTGACTTAGCTGCTTTTATTTCCACTAATAATTACAGTGAACTAGAAATAGCTGCCAAGAGGGAGACATCTATGTCCATCACAACCAAAAAGAAAAAAGTTCTAGGTGTATTTTTAATTGTTCACGGCTTCTAGTACAACTGTTCTGAGCAAAGCTCTTTACAAGTTCCCCTTGGTCATCAAAACTTGCTATTAAAGCTACTAAAACCTCGAAATACTAAGTGACACACATGTTAGTGATAGCCAATACACACAGACTAATAATGAATACTTCATTTTCACAGCAGCTGTTTAAGCTCAACTTCTCCAAAGTTATACAACAAGGAACAGCTGGAGGCTTTCATCTGATGCAGATCAGTATCAACAAATGCAGTAAAAACCACAGTATTGGCTAGAGTCTTTCCAAGGAAAGAAAGAAAACCCACAAACATCTCCGCAGCAAAAAACCTTAGGCTACATGGTGTTCCAAATACAAAGTAATACAGTTAAAATTTTTAGATTGCCAAGTGAAACCATTACAACAGCACTGTTCCACTGTTCATGATTTTAATATATATCACACCTTAAAATATTACCACTAAGAATTGTACCACTTAGAAGATCCAGAGGCTCTTCTACCAAAGAAAAAAACTCTTGAGCACTGTATCTGAGAGAGCAGTATTATTTAATGTTTAAACTACTCCCACTCAGGAAATCGCACAGACTTCTGGAAAGATGGAGGCCCTCAGGAGACAAAAGAGCACCGAACAAGTTGAATGGAGAGAGTTTGCACTAATAAAGCTTTTCACAGTGAGACACATACCCAAAGCTAAGTTTTGACAGCTGCTTTGAGAGAGTTTTTCAGTTACTGCTTTTCAGAGAAGAAATTCTGGAAGGGGTACCTTCCTACGCTCAAATATAATGAGACAGTATTATTAGGGATAAAAAAACCCACCCAGAAGTAAAGTCCATAATAGCAACTCACTTATGATGTATTTTTGTCACTATTTCCAGGAAGCATTTACAGAGTTGAGATTTAGAAATAAAAGGTCTAACACAGTCCTCTTGAACAATCCATCTCAATCTCTCCGAGAGAGGAGACTGCAATGAAAGCAGCTCCAGGAATTCTTACAGCAAATATTTGCCATTAATCTCAAACCATGGTCTTTGAAGTTGTTTAATACTGTCTTCACTTTCTTTGTACTCTTCTAGGTTGAATTTATTGTACTTTTGCTGGACTATAAACACTGGGACATTTTTCCTGTACAGTACATACACGGACTGCTTTGTTTAAGAATACCACTGCTGTAGTTAAGTGAGCTGAAACATAGATCAAGCTCAATTAGCACTATTACTCACACACACAAAAAAGATTAGACATAAATGGAACTGAAATGCTTCATAAAGATCTGTCACAGATAATCATAAAATGACAAATTCTGGCACAATATGTGCAACTACCTCCAGAGTTTCAGGAAATACTCTTAGGATTCTACACAGTCAGTGCCAGAAGGCAAATTGTTTTCCTGTCCTCTAAAAAATTTGAGATGTACATAGTTTCATTTGCTGCATCAGGGCAAGCAAAAGAAACATTTCATGTCACAGGAAAAACAAAGAAAAAATGACAGAGAAATGTCGAGAAGCTGCTTTACTTAAACCAGAAAAAAAGCTGATCTCATACAGTGCTTTCCTGGGATGCAAGAGACTACTCTGCCTTACTCAGACTCAGTACAAGCAGTCACACAAAGTGACTTTCAGATTGTCACATCTCAGGTGTCTGTCCCTAAGTTACTGGATACTTAGAAGTGACTGTCTCTGCTGTTAATTAATCACATCATTAAAATATACACTAAAGATGAATTTTGAATGGCGCTCTTATACCTGTGAATTTGTGTCATTGGTTAGTTGAGGATTTTTTTAATCCAGAAATTTTAATACTGACTTAGGGGAAAAAATCAACTGCAGCAAAAACCTTCGTCAACAAATCAGCATTTTCACAGGAAAGAAGGGTTCAAAAACTTTAAATGAACTTTGGCCACAATGCTTAAATCAATGTCTCACTGAGTGTGAGCAATTTGATACTGAACCTGAGAAAAATGAAAGTGATGATTTGAAGTGCATTTCAGGACAACACCCATCCTTTCAAAAGCGTATGTTCTGCACCTGCTAAAATAAGCTTAACAGATTATATCCCATCTAGAAAATTTGACTCCTATGCCCATCCATACATTTGTCCCAAATAGATACATGCATCTGGCACCTCTAAACAGTGCTCCAGCAGTTCATCACACCTACATGTAAAATTATGGCAAAAGAAAGTAAGATAAAACAATGCACTGTGCTGCATCCTCCATGGATTAGGCCAGTAGAATTGTATCTTTTCTACACGTGGCCCTCATACTGGTGAGCTATCCAAATCCACCTCTGTGGCCACTCTCAAAGCTTGGCTTTCATTGCCCAAGACGTAGCTGTGTTCATAAGTGTAAGAACAATAATGACAATTTACTCTAAAGGATCATAATTATTTACTACTGCCACATGAAAACCAGAGGAAAAAGTCATTTGTAGAAAGGAATCCTTCCATGGAGCAAGTTTTTGATCTATCATTGCTTCATATATCTGACAGTCATTAAGATGCTAAAAATCCTCTCTCTGATTTTTCCTGTCACACTGAAGGCTGCTTCTCAGTATATCCAGCCCTAAGGCACACTCTGCAACAAAATAATGATTTATCCAAGTAAGAACAAAAGCTGAAGACTTCAAGAAATAGAGCAGTACCCCAAGATTAACGTGTTAGACATCTGATGCACTGATGATGGGATTTAGACAAAATATTCAAGAACGTGGATATTAAATAGATACTTCTGCAATTTATGTTCAACTTTACTGCCTGGATACTGAAGCTGTAGTTACCTCATAAAAAGTGGCAGTAGGGGGCAGAAGCCACTTTTTCTGAAAAAATGCTTAGCTTCTCTTCAACAGTTACATACTTTACTGTCCTAAAAACTAATTTTGAATACTCTTGACTTTATTTCAAACTAGCAGGAGTTCTTCTGTGGAGGTAGTTTTTGCCAACATCTTGATTTTAGAAATCGCTTTCAGATACTGGAAATTATTTTTGGAATATCTTCCCACTAAGTGTTTCACATTTCTTAATTCCTTCTAGGTTGCAAAGTGATTATTATTAAACTTAACCCCAATTCAGACTAGTAGGACCCTGTATCTCATTCCAAATTTACACTCAACTTTGAAACATGATCGAGATGTATGGAAAAAAAGAACATCTCAATCCTCAAATCTACCTTTCTGGGAAGGAAAATGAAGTAAGCCAAAACCAAGCCAAATTTGTTGCAAGGATTTATTTGAACAACTAACTGATTTTCACTACCTCATTTGCTGTTTTCAATAAATGACAGCATTCCCTTTTTAACACAGCTCTACGAAGCAACAGTGGTCAATGTAACAACTGTCTGCAAAGCTTAAAAATGTAAATTTTGCTGTACTGTAGACAAAGAGGCATATTCACGTGACATTAGGTTCAACACAACTTGGTAAATGTCATATTCTTCTGCAGCATCAAACTACGTAAAAACACTTTGTGCAGGATAGAGCAGAAAATGGCAGTTATCATATGCTTGTTATTTCCCCATTTACATCACTTGTAAATCCTCTTAGGGTTTGATGCATTTATCCTAAAATCAACTCTCTTCGGTACAGTAAATATACTACAGAATACATTTTTACTTTCCAATTAAACTGGCAGGTCTATGGACTACAGATTCTTATGTATAAGTGTGTGTAACTGTAAAGCTACACGCTGCTTTCAGAAAAGTAAGTGAACCACAACGGGAGCTGATTTTTACTATAATAATTCAAGCTCATTTTAATATTAAAAGAATTTAAATTATTTCAAGACCTATCAGGCTGAACACAGGAAAAAAAATATTACGAACTAGGAAAACACGATTGGGAAATCACAAACATAAAATTAGAAAAGATTTGATAGAGTGAGTTTGCATAACCAGCTTGATGTTAGGCGGCCACATTCTTGTTGCTCACTTTTACTGTACTGTGGTTTTATTAGAACTCTCTTGCAGCAAACATTTTCATACTAGTGTAATGTTTAAAATCGAACACCTGCATGCTTAAAGTCTCTCGCAGAGGTTAGTAGCAGCATACAAATGCATTCAAATAAAAATTATTGGAAACACTGTAAGAGTTTGACATAGGGTTAAGAATAAAGACAATAATTCAGACAAAAACCTTTGAGCTCCAAAAAGAGCGAAGCTGGTCCTGCAGTGCTGGCTTGACTGTCTGAAAGTTTACAAAAACAAAATCCACCAATTGAAAACTTTTTTTTTTAAAAAAAACAAGCCAAAAACAACAGTCCAAATTCAAATATTAAGACAAGCAAATGTCTATCAATGAAGATCTTGGTTTGCAATGCAAGCCCGAAAATTCTTACCTTCAAGCTAGGTGTTTGGGTCTGATCAACAGTAAATCTCATTAAAATACTGAACTGGAGGTCATTTGGAAAAGATTCCCTGTGAAACAAACAAATCAAATCATGTTAAGTTACGTGAAATTTTCTTTTCATACCTGTTGAGAGGCACTAAAGTTGTCGTTCTTTTCAGTACAGTTTTAGTACTTAGAAAGAAAAAATTTCTACCAGTTTTGTTGATATGGTATCTGACTTTCAGAAACATTCACCTAGCATGTAAAGGACAAAATTTCAAAAATTCCTGCTAATAGCTAGAATAGATAATGCAAGTAATACGGAATGATATAATAATAATAATATGATAATACTCTAATTCTAAATCTAAGCAATCCTCAACTTAATATGCACTAGTACTGCTAAAGGCATGCACCACACCTCTCCTGCACGCTTCTCTGAACCATCCTGTTCCACACTTAGCTGCCTCCGCTCTCCCACACTGCACGCTCTGGGTACAACCCTCAAGGGCTCTGCTGTAGCAGATCATATTCCCTCTCTCCCCACACCATATTCTTCCCCAGATCTCCCTAATCTGCCACATGAATAGGTTTAGCATTGCCCTGGACCAGTCCCATACTTCAGAGAATGGAGGATGAGAAGTAGGTCCAAGAGCCTCTCCAACCCTATTTAAAAATCTATCTTTCATTTGGAAATAAAACTGGCCAGGGATGGGCAGCTCTGATAGCTCTCAAAACCATGAAAGATCATTTTGGAATCTGGCTGTTAGTGAAATCTGGGAAGCAAAGGGAAGACAGAAAGCAAATCAATTATTGCCGTAACTCCTTAAAAGCCTGCTGACACCAAGTGATGAATGCTGCAACGATATTTTTATATCGAAGAAGTTTAAACACAAGCACTGCATCACTGAACACAAGGCAAGACAACAAATATACATGGCTCAGATGCACATTTTGGAATCAGGTAAGTAATATCATTTTAATTGTTCAGCATTAAAGATTCAAATCCTTTCAACTAAGAGTTGAAACCAAAATGCTTAAGCAGCAAGGTCTACTGAAGTTTCACAATCTGTCATGAGCTCTTCATTTTCTCAAGAATCTCATAGCACATTAAAAAACCCCAAAACTTGGAAGTAGCATAAGAGTTTGGAATTTTTTTAGTGTTTGGTTTTTTTTAAATTTATATGTATTTTTTAAGAGCTCATTACCTTGTGACATCAAGTGCCTTTTGAACTTTTGCTTGTACGGACCCAAGCAAATCAGCACCCATTTTTTTCAACAGCTGTGTCAGCAGTACGAACAGCCAGTCCTGCAGATCTTCTTTATGGACCTGGATGAAGTCCACCAGTGTCTCCAAAAACATACTGAACACCTACAAGGCAGAAGAAGATGGAAAGAGGGTAGGATGGGGCAAAAGAGGAAACGACACTGACGTATGCTGAACTTACAAACAAAGAAGAAAGCAGTAAGGGAATCAGAGGCAGAGAAAGGCAGTGTTTTGCAGCCAAGCAGGAAAAAAAAGAAAACAGAAAAAAAGAAATCTGTCTTGCTTCTCCACTGGATTTTGATACAAGAGTATATTGGAAACGTTAGCCGACTTCTGCAGAAGTTTGACAATTAGGTATTCCATGCAGTTTTGTCAAGAAAAGAAATGCTTACTGTGATGGCTGGCGCAACCTCAATTTTTTTCAGTAAAACTTAAATTTTTTTACCTTTTCAACCTTTATCATTAAGTTGATTTGACACATTCCTTGAAGACTACAAAACCACTTTCTCTCTAAAACCAAAAACGCTGCTACAATTATTTAGCAAAATATTCACTGTAAATATCTGCATTATTACTAAATACTGCAAAATCATGAAAGCTGTCCAGTTCCTTTACGTAAAATACTTGTGGAACAGAACAAGGTTCTCCTGCTATTGCAGGTACCCAAACACAAAATTATTCACCAGAATAGGGAAAAAAAGCCATGATACATTTCAGATTGGCAGGTGTTTCAAACACAGAAGTACTTTCATCTTTTCAAAAATGTGTTATCCATTGAGTTATTTTCAAGAAATATTGTTGAATACAATAAGTACAAATGTTGAAAAAATGTATTCAGCAAAAAAAAATAAAGTATGTTACTGTATTTATAGTAAACTCAGCACTTGGACCAGGAGGAAGGGCCTTTTTGGAGAAAAGGGGTAAAGCAGGGCATGACAAGTAGGTAACTGTATTTTAAAAGTCCTTTATGTGTCTCACTAACTTTATGTTCTTTCAAGACTTACGGTGAAATCAGGATGTATATGTTCTATATCAGTGTGGCCCACGGGTTTCCCATTTCTCTGAGAAGAAAGCTGGGTGTTTGGGCTGAAAATGCTACCTTCACAACTGATCTGCACTCCAGCTCCAGAGCTGGGTATAGAAGCAGAGGTATTGCTACAATGAAAAGAGGATTGGAGAGATTTTGCCTCCTCCTCAGTAGTTATGACAGGGGTACAAGGCTGGAGAAGGGCTGGAACCCCACATCTTCTTCTCGGCTGACCTGACTGGTCATAAGGCCAAATTCTGCCAGTCTGTGAGAGTGGATGATCCCAAACTGGGACCATACCTCACATGGCTGCAGAAACCAGTCCATGGAGGTGGGCTTTCTGCCATAGCACTGATTGAGTATGGAGGAGTTGGCATGTGTTGCATGCCTTCCTTGCTGAGGAAATCGGATCTCCTGTCATGTTGATAATCAAGCCAATGTAAGCAAATTCACACCATAAAGTGAAAAAAATCCATACAGGTATCTTTAAAAGAAACGCCTCAAAATTTACATTACAAATAAAAAATAAATTAGACTCTTTCAGGATCTAATAAAGACCAGGGTGAATCTTTTAATGGACATCTTAAATACTGAAAAGCTGTGCTAGAAACAGAACAATACAAATCCTACTCAACATAAACCCCATCAGGATGAGCTACTTTAACTTCCTTTTTGGGGCAAACTACACTGAAAACTGTAAAATGGAAAAAAAAACAACCACCAAACAAACCCACAAACAAACAAACAAACAAAACTTCCTCTGCCATCTCTCCAGATTGTTACTGAAGTCTGAGTTTTTAAAAATTACCCTCTCAGTAGTGGAAAGAAATTTTTATGCTTGAGATTCAGAATCACAGAACGTGATGGCAATGTCTTCTGTATTTGGCTTCAATGAAACAATACAGCACTTTGTGGATGCACAAGTAGTGAGCAAAGGACCTAGGCAGAATCAAACCAATAAGTACTTTTTGTATTGTAATATGACACCCCTAAAATAAGAGGAAAATACATTGGACCTAGACAAACAACAAAAAAAATTCTGGTGCTATAAAGATTACACTGGGGGTCTTACAATTATATTTAAAACCCTTCAAATTAAACTATACAGCACAGCAGAATTCAAAAACTGTACCCATTTCTTCGAATTTCATTTTCATTAAAAAGTGCAAGCTGAACAAAGTGCTTACAGACTTTTATTTGATGAAGTAATGTGGAATCCTTATGACACTTTAAACACGTAAAGTGGTTTAAACTGAAATCATTATGAAGTGAATTATGAATCACTATGGCAAAAGTATTTTAAAGATCCTGTGCCAATGTTTCTGCTGTTAAAAATACGCATAACTGATGACTCAATTTTGTTTTCCAGCTTTGTCTGATTTTAGGTTTACCACAGTGATTGTCTGAAAAAAACTCAAATAAGCTGAGTAATTTTGTTGTATTTTTTAAAAATTACAAATTACAACCTTTTGGTTTTGGCCAAAGCATGAAGAATTTAAGGCGGCTCTAAGAGCATTTAAGGTAAAGTATGAATTTGGAATGGAAAATGGAATTCAATTATGTTGAACAATGTATGTGGATACTGCCGGTTTTGCAGTTTCCAGTTTTATGATGTAAATTAAAATTCTGAAATCAAGCATCTAAAGCTGAAGTTTTTAATAATTTGATAGTGGAAAAAAATAAACAGATATGAAAATAATTATAAGTGATCTACCTTTAAAGTGAATTATTTCAGATGTGCCAACCACCACAATATAAAGAAGGAATGCATAACCAAACAATGTCAGTTAATTAGTAGATAAAGCACATCTCGAAACTTTACCACACAGTTTACATAACTGTATATAGCATTTTATGATTGCAAAAGGCTTGACACTGCATGAACTCTTTGGGGAAGAGAAATAGAGAAAAAGGGTTAATTGCACATTCATGCAAGTAAGGTTAGGCTTCCAACAAATACTGAACCAACTTACTCTCTAAAGAGAGTTCCAACACAGGGGACAGCATGCAAAATGAAACAAAAACAAAACAAAACAAAACAACAACAGAAAAGGGAAAAAGATAAAAACACACAAATTAGTGGCCATTGATACAAAGTTCCTGAATGGAGTATAAACCAAAATAAAACAAAAAAGGTATTACAAAACTTATGATAAATTTCATAATTCTATTGGGATATCCAATGTATTTTATAAGTAAGCAGTTGGCATGTCCTTCAAATCACTCCTCCATTTTCTCCTCCGAATGACAGTACTCTCTTTTCCTAAGCAATTACCTAGATCCAGTTATCATGTTAAAACAAATCTTTTTTAAAAAAAAAAGATGACAGAATAACTCCTATAGACACTTGAAAAAAGTCTAAAGTGAGACTTGTGTAGCCATGTGTGCATAATAAAAATTACACAGTTCATGAACTCTTACACTTAAAAAATACTCCTGATAATATACTGATAACTATAACTACAGTCTTGGAACACCAAAAAGCAGGACTGGACAGGTGAACCACACGTACTATGTAACACAGGTCACATTTTCAAAATCAAACCAGTATTATTTTATGGCAGAGCACCCAGTAAACAAACCAAAACTATCAACTACAATAATTCAATCTAATATTCCTAAAGGCATTTTATTAAAAGATAAAATGATCTTCTGACACACACAAGTAAATTTTGAAACATCTGCCTTATCCTTCACTGGCTTGTCCACTACAAAAGAATCTACAGAGTAATTGGGATATATGCAAAGCAACAATATTAATTAACACAAGAACAAGCAAAATTAAACCAAGCTGCTATTCACAATTTTGTCATTACTTCAATTAGAAATCAGTAATAATTCAACAATTTTTTTTAAAATGTTTTCTTCAGTTTCTCTTTAACTGTTTGGCTTTAAAATTGGCAAACTCCTTCCAAAATACATGGTGTCACAGGTAGTAGCTAAATCATCTTTTCCAGCAGGAAAAATAGGGAGGAAAGATGAACACTAAGTTAACCTGTCAGGACTTCTCATCACACTGAATTTCTCTGAATTGCTCAACAATAAGGAAGACTTAAATATCTAAAATGTATTGCATAGTCAAAGTAATTTTTCAGAATTCTGCTGGGAAATGCCAACAGTTCTGAAACAGCTACTTTGTTCTGAATTTTTCTGGGTTATCGTTTTATCCGTTCTGAAATACGGACACAAAAGTGGGACATGTTATACTCAACATAAAAGATAAGGTTTCTTCCAAACCAGTTCCAATTCAAACAAAATATGAAGTTACATGTTTTTCACATGACACTATTACAACCTTGTTCAGCTCCTTATGTACCTGTCCTTTTGCTATGGGAAATTACTGCATATATGAAGCTGTATTAGTAACCCAGCTCCCACAAAAATCGTGAAAACATTATGAAGAAGCTCAGCTTAAAAGACTTTAACAGTCTTAAAAAACAAAGAATTATTGTCCTTCTTGTATCATCCATACTGCATCTTTAGGTAAAACTAAATAAAACATCACATTTATTTCTATCCTGAAGTACAGTCTCCACCTTACTAATTTACTAACAATGATGTAAAAATCATTCAACAGTCTCAACTGCCAGCCCTATCCGTGAAATCTGAGGAAGACATAATAAGCTATGATAATACAAATTACCCTGGAAAAAAATAAGTACACATTTGGTATAGTTCATCACACTCATCATGTATGATTTTGTCAGACTACTTTCTTTACGATTTGAGTTACCGTGCTAGAGTCTTTTGCTTCTAATTGAGAGAAAAACCATTACTTATGTTGAAGTAGCCTCTATAAACAACATGACTTCTTAAAAATACTTAAAATTTTCAGCACAAATTGTAGAACTACTACAATGCATTTTACATGAAACTAACCTTTATTCCAATTATCCTCGAAAAAAGGTGGAAAATTCTCTTGTGCAAAATTGCAAATTAAATGGATTAAAATCTGATACCATTAACTGGTTATAGAATACGGTTAGTGAAATTTTTACATATGCAAATACCACTGACGTATTTTACCACAACTGCCTTTCTATTAATGTAGGTTTTCAAACATTTACTACAAGTAAGAAAAACCTAAACATACCTTACTGTGAGGATCAGCAAACATTCTTGTGAAGATTTCACACAACCTTTTCAACTCAACACGACTGTCAAATTGACAACAATACATTAGTCAGCTCCCCTGCTCACACATTAATGGATAGCAATCAGTGAAATCAACTGTAAACATGAAATTAAATAATCCAGTACATGAAGCAGAAAAAAGCATTCTGTTTAAGACATGGGTAAAAATGTAATGGAATTTGTCTAAAATTAGACTTTCGACCTAGAAACGTCTCTTTAAACTGATTCATATATTATACCTTTCACAGCTATTTTTAAAAAGTGGATAATGAAAAAGATATTCTTAGTAGCTAGTAGTAAACAGTTTATCCTGAATAAATACCCAATAAATGAAAATACTAATAATAAAAGATAAATACATAAAAATAAAGGCCTTCCATCCATATTAGATGCAAGCATTTTAGGAGTCTTTTGCATAGCAAGAATTCTATTGATTTTAAATTCAATTTCTTAACGTTAGCTTTTTAAACAGATCCTATACGGTAGGGGCCAGAAGTGCCAACAGCTTCCTCATTGCTTCCCCCACTTTGCTCTCACAGACACACTCCCTGCTTTCCCTCTCCCCAAGTTTCAGTATTTTTTAGAACGCAAGCCTTGTTTCCTGCTTCCCGTGCCTCACTTCAACTCTGAAATAAAATGTTTTTCTGTCTTCTTCTTACCTTAAAGTTCTCTGGTTCTTTAGTAGGTTTTGAAGGCCTAGAAGGCCTTCTTTTCTCTCAGACCAGTTGGTGCTGGCACAGCGATTTAGGACTTCAGCCACATCTTCTGTCTGTCTCATATACGTTGGTATGCTCCCATTCCTAGAGCTGTAGGACCTTTCTGAACAGGCACTTGATGCATCACTGTTGGCATCATCATCTGAGTACATCCCATAGGACTCGTATCTTCTTCGCACAGGCTTCTTCTATCGTACAGGAACAGCCCAGATTAGTACTGATTTTCAAGAAGATACTACACACACCCATAAACAGTAGAAAGAGCAATAGCTCAAGTAATCGGCGTGACCCCTACACCCTGCAGACACAAATTACTCCAACTGTTCAAGAGATCAAACTGAGTTAATAAAAGTATTTTGAAGTATGGCTTGTGTAGTATTCAAAATATAAAAGCAAAGCAAATGCAGAGAAGACATATGTTTGATGAAACGTTCAACTTAAAGTTTACTTGTAAAAATCCATAAAACTGCATTAGAGGGTGAAATAAAGACTACTGAAAGTTAGTTATTTCACTTAAGTTTACATATATTACAGAATGTAAGAATCAGGTCTAAACCCACATACTCTGTCCTTTTAACTTACTTTGTATCAAGCATATTAATAGCAAAATATTAAACTACTGAAGAAGGAAAATAGTTTCTATACCTTAGTCCGTATGTCTCCTAAGAGCTGATAGCAGTAAATTATTGAAAAGAAACAGAAATTGAAAACAGGAAGGTAAGGCATAGCAGCATTGTGACTACTAAACTACCTGCCACTGGAAAACACAGAGTCTTATTGTAAATTTTGTTCTTAGCTCTCTATCCGATTTGCATATCATGCATTGCCAAGAAGTACTTTGGTAAACCTCCATTTCCAGGGAAATACTACATATCATCTCCTGCTTGGTCACAAAGACTTATCTGTCAAAATCTGTGACTTCAGCAGTGACATTTGAGCACGAAGACATAACACATGCACTCAATTGCTATCTGAGTATGAAACATTAGTTTAAACTTTATTTTCCCCATCAATTTCTCTATCTCTGTTTAACTTCATTTCAATATCTACATTTTGTCATTGCAACAATTACTACAGTGCTCAATGTCCTACAAAAAATTAATTACATAGTACAAAATCCCAAATCCCCTAAAAACAAACAAAAAAAACCCAACAAAACACAACACACCAGAGACCAGAGGAAGGTGGTGGTGGGGAAGTTATTTATCCTAAATGGAAAAACACACGCCTCTGCAAAATAACTCTGCTATTCAAATTTTGGAATTGAAAATAATAATTAAAAATTCAGTTTCATTACATACTCAAAGAAGCAGTAAACTATTGTTTTCCCTTTAATTACCATTGGTATTTGCACAGGGTTCTCATTTTTGACTGCAGAATAACTTAAATGATACCACAATACAAACGAGTCAATACCTCATGTAGCAAGCAAGCTTAGTGTCAACGGAACAAGCATACATACATGTGTAGGAGAATAAAGGAAGGGAAACACTACAAAGACATGAGCATTTTTGAAATGAGTCAATATAATTATTTTTTTAAAGAAACAGAATTTGAAAGGCCAAAGACTGTGCTAAAGTGAAAAGTATAAAAAAAGGTAAAGATCACCACACTGCTGCATTTCATGCATCCTATATATTAAAACCAGATCTTAGCCAGAAGACTGGCTTGAGCAGAATTATAACTGGCCAAGTATTCTTAATGCCACAATAATAATATTACAACTCAGAATATTTTTGACTTTGAGATTACATCTGTGAGGACTACATTCTACCTTTTAAAAACACTGCTCTGAGATGGGGCTTCAGTCTATGATAAAACAAGAGTGTTCATAACCAGATCTCCATCTAAATGGAGCCATTTGTACAGGACAACCTGTACATTTAGAGCATGACAGGCAAACAGGCATGCAAATGCTACAATAATAATAAGTTGCTGCTCCTGACCCTTCTTTGTAGTGGCAGATTTTAGCTAAAATATACAAACTCATTTTCTTCTAACATTTCCAGAAGCATCATTTTGGATTCAGATAATACAAACCAGTTTTTATAAACAAACTTTATCACTTCAACAAAGCAGGCCACATTCAAGCCTCAAGAGCAGACCTTGGAAGCATCAGTGATTCTCCTCAATTCTATATAAACGTGTTAAAGATACTCTTCATGCAGCGCCAATGCGGATAGATCTATAGCATGGGCTTTCAAATAATAGCTTGAAACTTGTCATGTTCCATGGCCTGTTTTAGTATTGTTCCCTATTCCAAAATCCAGACTGACTTCCAGTTTACTAATTAGCATTCCCCAGCACTGCTGAAAACTTTTTGCAAGTTCACAGTATCAAAAAGGGGAAAAAACCTACTCAATCTCACCACGACTTCTTAGGCAAGTTTTCACAGATATCCTGATCTTATGTCAGCGAAGGCACACGAATTTTAAACCAATGTGCCAAGAAGACAGCACTAATCAAGAAATCAATAAATTGCCAGATTAGGAACATGAGAGAGTTCTTCAGATTTTTTTCCTTTGAAATTCTGCTTCTCTATCCAGTCATAAAACTTCTGGTCAGTGCTACCTGCTCAAGTGGCTCCTTGGGCCACTCCAACAGAACAGTCCAGGACTATCTCCTGTCTGCCACGGAAAAATGTACATTTCTCAAAAGTTAAGACTTCTGTAGGGAACAAAAATTCCAATACTTCGCAGTTCTAGTAACTCAGTTTCTCTTTTTACCCCCATCTAGAAACCAATACAATGATAAGTTCTTTTGCACACTTTAACGTACAGTTACCAAACATTTTAAGAGTCTGTGTCCTACACAAGGTAAGTATGAGATTCTTACCAAAGCATCAGCTACTGCCTCTTCCACGTCAGAACCTGTGTTCAGCACTCGCATAGCACTTACTGATGATGACAATCTACTCGACTGACTGATTCCAAAGCCAGTACCTGTTATAACAACAAAAATGAATATAAAGAATTCAGTCAGGGCAGAAACATGGGACATCAATACCACACTCACTTAAAAAAAAAAAAAAACCCAAGCAGAAGAAAAGCTTTTGCTTAACATTTCTAATAAACTATGTAGTGGCTAAAATACTGGTTGTTTTCATTCTGAAGTCTTTAGTGGTACAGCAAAAAGTAAGAAATGAAGTAAAAAACCAGAGTCATATACAAACATTCTATTCCAGTATCACAGGGGAAAAAAAAAATCCCTAAAACAATGGTTTTAGCTGAAAGAACCTTTCCCTTTTTAAAAAAAGTAATGTCTTCTTCATTTTGGGTTTTTGTTTTCATTTAAGAAGAAAGCAAATACAATACAGAAGGCTACTGAGAGTGCTAATTAGAAAACTACATGCATAAAGAATGCTCTATGAATACTGAAAAATGGAAAACTAAAACGAGTTCTTCTGCAAGTAAAAATAAAATGACTGTTGTTAAGGAAGAAAAGGATTAACACTGGAGGATGGGAGTAAAGACGAAATCTAGCAACATAAACACATCTACCTGGATTATTAAAACCACAAAATTCAAATTAATATAAATAATGCTTTTAAAAACTGAACTATGAGAATAACCAAGTGGGTGGGAAAAAAAAAATCCAGGATGACTGCACAGATGACAGCAAAGTGTACTCATCCTTCACCTGCAGCCCCATAAGCATCAGGAGCGTAGAGGGCACCAGTGGATCTGGAGTGATGTCTGGAAGCTGCAATAACAGGATCATAGAAACCCTATCTATTACCACGGAACCAGAGTGCTGCAATAGTTGCTTAGATGAACAAGCGAATATTTATCAAAAAGATTCAGCTTTAGCACAAGAAACTGAGTATTACACAGAAGGAAAAAGCTTCACAGCAGTTCTTTGATCATACAGAATATGATTACATAGAATTATGTAGGTTTATGTACACTGGACATATCATGCAGATTTTTTTTTAATTTAAAAGAGTAGATTAAAAGCAAGTATGTTTAAGTTCAAAGGAGAAAAAATGCGTAGACACACAGGCGCACAACTCACACACAGAGAATCCTCAGAAATATCTAAGAAGTTTCACTGATACTGGTCTTCCACTGCAGAGTTAACTCAATTCTACAGAGACAGATCTCGCATACCAAGCATTATCTGCAAAAAGTAACTACTGCACAAACTTACAGTGTTAGCAGTTGACAATTTGTATAAACTTGAGCTCTTGCCTATCTGCACATAAGTCAACCTCAGTTAAAACTCACCACTACGTTGAAGAAAGTTAAAATAATTCCATTTTAATTGATAGTTTAAAATAATTTAATGCAATTAATATTTCACATTTGTACTGTTCTCTTTATGTTAAATAAAGTGTGAAACTGAAACATCTTTGCTAGTTACTATAGCATAAAAGAGCTATTAGCTCTTTAGTCTTTAAAGTTATGGAAAGTGGGAACCACAGGATCCTTAAGGACTTTTGAATAAAACTGGGCACCTTCCTCCTTCTGGCACTTGCATAAAACTGGTCTTTTGGAGATCCTAAAGAAGTAGACTCACCATTGCTAATATTTTCTATCTTAAACCAAGTAATTTTAAATTCATTGTGTTTTTAAACAGTTCATCTTCCTTCAGTTCACTTAAGTTAGAATTTTACAGCCACATAAATGAAACTGGTTTAAACAATTTTACCTTGAATTCAAGTGCCCACCCACAGTGACATAAACCCCAGATATAATCCTATAATTTAATAAATAACTGTAAATGCAAATATTTCACATCTTTTGCGTACATAATGTAGTATAAATAGAATCAAATAATCAAATCAATCATCCTTTACTGGGATTAACATAGACAAATAAAGAGTCATGAAATAACCCTGACATGGACCAAATCACATTTGGGGGAGCACATCACTCCTACCCTAAGCGAACTCCAAAATGATCCTAAGTCCTGGAAAGGTCCAGGAAACAACATTGTGTTTTTTCCATGTAAAAGTTCTCTACTTTTAAAATAAGGTACAGCCATGTGTTTTATTTCCAGCTGAACCTGAAAGTTGCTTAGCTATTTTATTTTGCAAATAGTGCTTTGTGGAATACTTGGTCTTTCAGAAATGTGTCTCAGCACGGAAAAAGAGACAGGACAGAGGATGTCAGAGGCATCAAGGCTGATAGAGCTTGAAGTACAAGCAATAACAGGACAAATCTTTCTATTGCTTTCCATCAACAAGACCTGAAAATTAAAGGTACAATTAAAAATTCAAACTTCAGACATGTACTTTAAGACAATCCTGTCCCCATGTATGTTTGAAACATATTGGACAAGTTTTTAAGGCAGTGAAAGGAAGCACTGCATTGGATCAAACACACCTTATTCCAAAGTGTATTTTCAAGAATATTCTTCGTACACCTCAACTGCAGAAACTGTGCAAGTATTTACTTCTGTTGTTTCATTTTTTTTACAAAAATGAATCAAAATAAGAATTATTTTAAATGGACTCAAAATAACAATTTCTTGGCTAAAATATGGAAATTATACTGGTCTGACAGTTAATATTAACTACATGTAAAATAAAAATAGGCTCTTCCACCTAAATCACAAATCACTTGCTTCTCAAAGTGGCTGTTATCTCCCAGTTTATAATCTTATAACGAGATATGAGATTACACAAACACTTCATAGCAATGTATACAGAGACGTAATTATGTAGCACTTGGGTGATTTTATGCCCCAAAGGGTTTAGCATTTGTAAGCAAAAATTTCTGTGCTGAGAATCAGATGCAATACAAACTACATTCCCCTCTCTAACCCAATGTAAAACTGCCTCTAGCTACAAACACAGAGCCGAATTTGCCTTATTTCATCGTCCACTTCTGCCCTTGAAAAACATTAGATTTAATATTTTGATAGAAGTTAACAGCAACCCGTAAGATGAAACTGGTCCAAGAAAACACTGAATGACATTTGAAATTATTCAAATAAGGAGTCATACCAGAAGGAATCCCAGGAATCTTAATTCCAGGCATAGCTGGTTTGGTTTTTCTTAAACACTGGATTCCTATATACGCTACTTTTCATACTCTGTGCTATCCGACAATTCAACCTACTGTATTCGTTTAGGTACTTGTTTCGACATCTGAATGCACAAAATAAACTCCAATAAAAATAAAATGTCAAGTAGCATCTGTTCCAATGGCCTCTCTTATGGTATTAGTTTAACACAAATTTCTTAAGATAACAAGCATTTGACCAAATATAAAATGCAAAGCAGACCTCACATGCACGCAATTGAAGTCAAGCTGTAAGGTAGCAAAAAACCCACAAAAAGATTTGGAAAATACCCTCGTTTTTAAAAGAAAAGGTAAGTGTGCACTACAACACAGTCTGCCAGATGTGTTTTAGTAAGAGATACACGTTTACTAATAGATCCTGTGTAATGTCTACTTTTAATCTAATTTCCCAATTAAATAGCATCTGGACAAATTAGCATTAGTTATTGAAACAGCTTTCATTCAATTAATCTACACTTTCCCAATAAAACCATGGTTGACAGGAAGCATAGTGCCTTAACAGACTTCCAGTGCTAATTAAGAGTACAGCCTCAATTTGAGATACAAAGCACAAATGTACTGTTTTCAGACTATGTTTAAGAGCCTGTATTTGTAATACTTCACCTGTAAGCTACACTCAAATAAACAAGAGGGATGGATACACAGTGAAGACTAACTCAGACAAAGATAACACCCAGTAAGATCAGTTTCAGACACAATCTTACATAGACAGTTTCATGTTACCAAACAATAAAAAAAACCTCAACAAACCAACACGTAAAAAGACTTCTATCGAAGTTTACTACAAACTTCGCAGTAACCTTGACAAGGACACATGGAGGTGAGAAGCTTCCCTAATCCATAACCAACAACATGTTAAAGTAATTATAAGCTAACGTTCCTATGCCTTGCTGATGTTTCAGAAACCGACAACTGCTTCACAATCTTGCAAAAAGTCTTTTTAAGTGTCAGGCCCATAAGCTAAAATACGAAGTGGAAACAAAACCTTTGCTTACAGCAGCTCTACGAATGAGGACCGAACATGGCTATGCATGCGTGAATGTTAAAGTTTTCAATTCCTCTCTTCCTTCCTATGTAACGACAGCTGCTTCAGTAACTTATCCCTTGTTCTACACAGATGAAAAGTAAACTGCAGAAACGTACTCTAGTTCGTCTACTTGGACTTTGCTTCTTACCTTTTTCATTTTTAGGAAATGGAAAGCAGCCTCAGAATAAATTCTGCCTCAGTAGACTGCTCTCTTATCTGCACCATCGTATTTACTTTATTTAATAGCAAAAAGTCAACATTTTAATGATCTTTTTCACATAATACAGTGATGACAGTGTAGCTAAAGAGAGAGAAAACGGAGTGCACTTTCTTCTTATACGGCAAAATGATTCATTGACTAGGGAGCAATTTTGAATACTAGCAGACCCTAGCTGTTGATGTGGGGCAAGGCAGAGGTTGACAGCCACGCTGTGTTCTTACTCTAACTGTGAGTTAGAAATGGATTATCTAACTGAAACTAAGCAATGAGTGCTGTAAGAGAAATACGTAATTTCAAAAAACCTCCCAAAAGCAGAATTGCTCTTTCAAAAAAAGTATCTAGGCACTGCATATCACACCCCCTTCCAGACTTGGTATTTAAAGTAAGACTAACACTAGCAAAGCATTTATTCTTCAACTGTGCAACCCATTCACACATGGATCAATTCTCCATTGAAATAAGTGGTGAGTGAGCCAAAGGAAGGTAAAATTACAGTGGCCAGCTACAAGCTAAATGGAGGAGGCACGGATTCGTTAGGTGCAAATAATGAAGGGCAGAGACAGCCATGCACAACGAGGGGCTCTGAGTACTTACCAAGGGGTTGAAAAGAGCGGACAGGGCTCGTGTCCCTGCTGCTTTCGCGGCTGGCCTCCCGACTGCAGCCCTGACTCACACTAGGCCGAGGAATGCGGCTGCCTCGTGCTAGTATGATTCAGGGTGCAGACCAACAGCAGCACAGAAGGGAGAAGACATAAGAAAAGTTGCAGTTTTAATGCAATTCTGGTTTACAGTAAGATGAAAGATGTTTTTCTAAGAAAAGACACTGACGACTATGTCAAACTGTAAGTCCTAACTGTTTCCACACACTTTCTCAATTGTGCTGGATTACACCAAGTGTAGCCAGTTCAGCGCAATCAGGTATTTTGGGGGTAGGGAGAAGTGAGGAAAAGTGAAAGAGAAGGAAGAAAGGGAGGTGAGGAAAAAAACCAACTACTGCATTCTGACACCAAAAAAATTAGGTCCATCCTAAATGGACCTTAAGTTTCATCTTAAATTTGAAGTTGTCTCACGCATCAAAGACTAGACTCAGAAAACAGGCACGTTTTAGAATTTCATTGGTATCTATTCCAGTATTATCATTCACCTATCACAGAATGCAACCAGTAGACGTCCAGCACTTGAAATAAGAAGGGCTACAGAGAAACCATGGGTTATTCAGTGATTCTTACCTACTGACAGTCTAGAAGGACTTGCTTCTCTACTGCATCCCTGACTTCGCGGGATTTTGCTTCGCTTTTGTGCAGTTGCAGGATTCACCAACACTCTCTGAACTCCTGTGTTCATCGTGGAAAGTGTGGTGGTTGTCAAAACTCTTCCAGGAGACCCAGATCTACTGCCGGCTGAAGGCAAAATGAATAAATATAAGTAACAGCATAGAAGATAAACAACAAGGGGTGAAATAAATGCTTGAAGTTAGCAGGAAAGTGGTGGTAGATTCAAATGGTCTGGAAAAACTTAAAAAAGGTAAAAATGTGAAATAGAAAACTCTGGTCCAAGTTCTTACAGCACTATATACAGTGTAGATAAAGTTATCAGTGCAAGGAAGGGCTTGGCATGGTATTTAGCATGAGGTACACTCAAGAAACCATAAATCATGTTTCTAGTCTTCATCAACAGTTCCAACGCCCCTATATTATGAACATTGGTGTATTTGTTTTTTAAGCTACGTGGTCTCACTAATCATATTTTCTATTAAAAAGGCAAGAAAAAAAAGAACTGCTAGAAAGCTAAAGGGAATAACTTTAAAGCAGTGATTTTGTAATTATCCCAGCTCTTCCAATGCTACCAATGTTGAAATAAAATAATTTTTCTAATGTTTAAACTCTTCTCCCTTGCTTTAAAAAAGCATGAGGTCTTGAAGCACTACTCCCTGAGTAGTTAAATAAAACGTCACTGAAGACAATTACAATATTAATTGTTCATTTCCGTGGAGGTTACCCCACAAATTCAAAGAAAATCTTCAATTAGTTTTGAACAAGCTAGAAAATGGATTAAGACTCATTTAAGCATTCTTTATTTTTAATTGATCAAAACTGTACGTTATGCAGTGCTATCACTGTTCATTGCAACACACTGTACCCACTACCAGAATATGGTCACTGATCGCTAATTTTGGTACTTCAGTTACAGAAAATGTAAGTTCTAAGCCCTAACAGAGAATCTATTCTTCTTCAGTTATTACCAAACTATACCACCAGTTGATATAAATACACTGTTTCCAGCTGCACAATTCAAGGAGACCAACCAAACAAAAAGCGAAACATCATTTTAACCAGAAATTAATTACATACAAATAGGAACCTTTCATTAATCCTTTAAAAAAGAAATCAGGTTACAGTAAGACCACAGCTATGCTATCAGATCTATAGACTTATCATGCAACATCTCAAGTGAGTTTCATGGATTACTTTTTATGAGGCACAGTTAAGAAAAATACAAGTTGATTAAAGCTTGACCATATGGGAAAAGAAAGAAAATCCCAAACAAAATAAAACATATGCTGGGTGGAAGAGAGAAAACTAAAACAATGCACCATGCATATACTTTCAGATTCATTGTTTGAATTCAAACTTGAAATGATTACTTAGTAAAATCCCTTTTCCAAACTACGGACCTATTCAGCAGAAATGATAAATAAAATATCACACAGCCTGGAAAAAACAAGGATAACTTCTATAGCAAAGAAAGAATAGGGAAATTTATAAAACTGCTGTGTTCTGCACAAATTAATGGTTTGGCAGTTTCTTCATATCAGGGCATTTCAACTTAGACCTGATATTACTATGCTTTCTTCCTAGCCTCCAATATCTTGTATCTCTTTAAAACAATGAAAATATGAAAGTTTTCACTGTGCTGGAGACTTTTAGACTTTCTAAAGTCAGAAACCTGCAAAACTTACTCTCCTCAGAATATACAGAGGAAATACAACCTGATACTTTATCTTCCTATTGTATGACCTACAAAGTGTACCACTACAGCATAAATAAACCAAATAAAGCTTAATATCCTGAAAATATTATGCTAGTAGCAGCTCTGACATACAGTTGTCAGCACTACGATCAATAGTAGATCTAAGTGAACTGAATAATAAAAGAAGGATTACTACAACAGTATTCCAAACTGACTCCCATCTATACTGCCTTCCAAATAAGGATTACATCCAGTTAGGTGAATGCAGCATATGGGAAAAGGTAAGTCAGAATTTCTGCTGAATAGGGCCCTTAAATGAGATATGTCAAACAGGTGATCAAACAATGACGTATACACAAATTCTGTAGACTCTTACCACCAATGGGGTTAGCAGACTGTGATCCTGAGCAAGTGTAAAGGCAGGTTTAGGGTAAGGGTTTTTATAATCCATGAAGAGGGAGGGAGCAGAGCAGATTATAAAATGGATGGCAAATGGAAATAAGAAAGCTTTAGTCATTTCACACAGGAAAAAAAGCCACAAGGGGGTTATGCTAAAAGCAGTGCTTTTAAGTAGTTTCCACAGTTGAAGAATTAAACTCAGATGCTATGCACAAAGCAGATGAGGCAAAGCTGCACAAGCAAATTACAATTCTTCAGCTTTCTAATCAGCAACTGAACAATACTGAAGAATTACATTTCAATTAAACATGAAACTGTAGCCTTCACATTACTTCAACAAAATATTATGCTGCCAAAAAGGTTCAAGAAGTTCAATAGCTGAACAAAAATTACACACAAGGCCGAAACATTATTTTTTTCAGACAGACAGTAAAGAAACTGAGCTGCAGGTGCGGTGGATGACAAAAAGAAATAACCAAAAAACCTCACAATGGCACAACTGAAAAGACTTGCATAGAATTTCAGGCTTTCCTCCTTCAAATTAATCTGAAGTTTAGAAGTAAGAATTTGTTTCCATTCAGAAATCTAACGTTTTCTCTGAATGAAGACTGTAATGTAATTTTAGCACACCTTTGCTGAATTAGCTGACAACCAAACAGGAGGGGAGAGGAAAAAAACAGAACTTGGTTTTTTTCCATAGACAAGAATCAAGTAACGAGCTATAGATTGTATATGCATTTATTTTATGTTGCAATTTCAAAATAGAAGAGGAAGACTAAAGGGCTTCTAAAATCTTAAAAAAGTATCTTTTGTAAAAGCATTCAAATTTGCAAGTCTTTCATAAAATGATCATTGAACAAAACCGATAAAAGAATTGTAACCCTAAATTTACAAAAGCATCTCTGCTACAGTGGTTTCTTAAAAAATAAAAGCTTTTATCCAATATGAAGCTACTTTCCCACTATAAACTGGGGAACTAAAACAATCCCCTTTATGGAAACATCAAGCATCTTGCACTCCACAATGCTGTGAAAATTTTAAGTCACATCAGGAAGCATCACCCAAATAACTGGCACACAGTGCCTGACAATTCTTCGCCTGCCCATCTGTATTTGCCCTGTTTATCTTCCTTAAAACATCTCAGAATTCTTGTTCTCCCCCACTGACAGGATATGAGCTACCTGAAGCCATCAGTTCTGAACAGAAGTAGCAATAAAAGGCTGTAAAAATGCACTCCTGCATTTAATTTTCATGTATCATCACATGTAATCTAGTTATCTCTCTTTAGATAACTCTTCTCTCTTTAGACATGAATACTGGGTAAAAATGAATTATCTTGCGGAAGAAGTCATTATTAATAAAAAGGAACTGAAAAAGCTTCAGTTTGTTTCCCTGAATATAACATACAATTAATTTGTATGACAATGGTCACAGCAGTCTGATATTGCTACCTAAATTTAACCCCTCCTCTAAACAGTTTACCGAACACCATAACTTTTTAAGAATTTACCAAGCTTATTCAAAGCAGAGCTATTTTTCAAAAAGCTTATTTCATAACTTGCCTAATGATAAGTGTTAAAGATACTGCTTACACCTTTTCATAAAGCAAAAAAGTGATTTGATGAGATTGTTACCTTCCTTCCTCCTTAAATTATTAATCCAAATATTCTTTGCTTATAATATAGTGTAGTTATCTTAACACCGAAAATGTAAAACAAGTTTTGCACAACCTTTGTCACAGCCAATAACTTTATTTTCAAACACTTGTGGGATTAGAGCACTGCCGAAGCAAAAAAATCACTTGAGAGAACTTCTCAAGTAACTTCTGTTTTCTAAACACACAAAAAATTACTGTGGATTAGCTGACATTCAGTAAAAAGCTTGTTTTAACCCTCTGATACAAAATAAGCTAAGCAACTGATTATAAAGTTATGGTTTAGTGGTTTTACTCTTTAAGAAGAGTTAAGTAAAGGTAACTGCTGCAACACTAAAAAAGTAGTATATATCCAAGAGGTAGAGTAGTGCCTAGCTTAAAATGGAAATAGGTATATCTGGCTGAAAAATTAAGACTTCTTGAAAAATGAAAAGACAGGGTTTGCAGGTAACACTGAGGAGACCATTCAGCCTACCCATTCCCTGTATTACTTATCCATGTGTCATATGTAACTGAAACGGAAGTTTCCTGCTGTTTCATGTTGGGGAGGTCAGAAATGGGGGGAAAAGAATGTTGAGAAGTTATAATTGAAGACAGAATTTCAGAGTAGATTTCCTCACCCGTTACATTATCTAATTTAATTGGCAAACTAAGACCTAACCTAGTATTTTTTCCAGAGAAAAACAACATGAATCAGAAAAGCATGCAAATACCACTGACCCAAAACACTGAAAAAAATACCTTCATTTGTGTCTGGCGATGATGAACCTAAGGCACAGAACAACAACTCAGTATGTAGCTTTTTTTAAAATTAACTTTGACTGTAGCCATTGGTCAATGAAAATATACTGAAGCATTTGGCCTTTTTATCAAGTATAACTGAAATACATACGCTGAGACTGTGACACCACTTTGGTTCTACTCCGTCCTCTGGAATCTGTTTTAGAATTTCCAATACCAACAGAAGGCGTTGAAAGCTTCGTTCGTACACGGCCTATAAAAGATAGACAGTATTAAATCAGTTTTTCACAATACTGCAGAAAACAAAGCATCAGTAGCATTTACCAATGTTTTCTTAATTTGCTGTAGATAAAAAAGAAATATAATGTAACTCAATTGGCGAAAATTCACTTGGGATAATTAGTAGAAATTTGAACACCTTGAAGTACTTAGCAGTTGAGGAATCAACATACTTCTCCTCAGATGCTACATGTTTCTGTAAGCAATGTCCGCATTATCCTTTAGGCACTCTGAACTAACTACCTAGTTCTTGCTTCCTACATGAACGAGTTCATTATATTAAAAAAGGAAAGTTTATTAAATATAATTAGGCAATCCATACACTAATGTTGATGTATCAGATACACTCTTCTCATGGTTACTTGTGGCTGTAATTCTACTTTTGTTGTCATAAAACTACAGAAATTATGTTGGTTATCTTTTGAATAGGTTTCTGAGGTTTTATCCTAACTTCACTCCTCTTTTTAGAAACCTAAATACTAGCTTTCCTGTTACTGAAGATGCTATTGTTTTCCTGGCCACAGTCATACAGATTTCTACGGGATTTCCCAAGCCTTTTACAGCACTTTGCAAAGACTAAGTACACTTAAGTACTTCTCAGTGACAGCATGATACAAGGGAAATACTACTTTCTTCAACAGATAAAAGTGAGGAAAAGACAGATTAAACTGAGTAACTACAACTAAAACTACAGTCACTTCGCTCTAGAATGGCAAACCACCTTGGTTTTGGGTTAATTTTTCTGAATGTTCCCCATAACATCCGGAGTATACAGTGAAATTACAAAAGAAAGGAAGATCCCAGTTGGATGAATCATAGGTAACTGAAAAATTATTTAGAAAAGAGTACAGTTGCGTACTACATTTCCTAAGCCAATCTCTCAAACAACAGAAAAATAAAACAAAAAACCACGCTAACCATAATTCTTTAAGTTGCAAGAACAAAGCCCAAAAAGCTTGCGCAGGGTGGATCTCGCTCAACAAGTAATCCACTTAAGAACAGCATAATTAAAATATTTTCTAGACACATAGAGTCAGTATTTGACCCAGAAGAAATAGGTACACAGACTGTTATTTAGTTCTAGCCTCTTAGGCTTTCCACAGCAGAATTTGGAGACCAACCAAGTTAATATTATTCACCCAAGTAGAGGGAATAGCCATAGATGAGAGTCTACAAGAAGAGAGTCAGGATAAAGGAGGTTATTCACTAAACTATTAGAAAACAATATGCTAGCAAGAAAGGTTAGCTTAACTAGTCCAAACTCTACTAGTTATCCCCGTGCAATGGCAATGTTTTCCCACTGAGTGCTGTGAGACTGCAAGGCACGTAACTGCATCCAGAATTTGCCCCCAAAACCTAGGAATACAGAGTGCCACTATTTCGATACTGCATTCAATTATCACTTGGAATCTGTTCCATTTTATCAAAGTAAGAAAAAAACAACTTGTATTTGTGAGGCAAATGAACTGTTAACTCACTTGGAGTCTCTATATCCATTCACAAATGACAGGTTTAAATGTTAATAGCATATTGAAAATTAATTCCCAAGTCTCAGAGAGATGAGTAATAGTAGCACCTGCTTCCCAAAGCATGAACACATTTGATGAAATATTCTGTGACAAAATTTGCTTTAAAAAAGAATGAAAAATTATAAAGCTCCTATAATTTCACACTGAAAATGTAAAGCAATGACACTTTGCTGCAGATGAGTACTTGAGAATTAAAATAAAAGCAAAAGAATTTTAAAAATACTACACAACCACCAAGTATTAGATGCATAAGCTACCTGGAGTTATGAACATCTACAAAGCCCCCGAAAGACCATATTCTACTTTTAAAGCTTAATTTGTATCAATGAAAATATGAAGCTGGAAATATTAGCTGTTCTCACAAAATATTTTCTTACCATCTTCAGAAGCTGTTCCTAAACAGAAAAAATAATAAAATACATGATATTCCAAACAATACTGTCTCTGCAGTTCCATTTTGAGATTTATCTTAGGAGTGTTGACAAATTTTATCAAGAGCTCTAAAGCTTTTGTGTTGCAACTCCATTATTGAACTGAAGAAAAATTATCACGAAACATCATTACTATACTGTTAGTGATTTAGAAAAACACAAGATAAAGCTGTCCTCCAAACTTAAGAAAACCACAAAAACATAGAAAAAATAAATATAAGAGAAGTCAACAAAATGACATATACAGATCAAAGCAGACATTAAAAATATTTTAGTGCAAGCTCTTCTGAAAATATAAAACATACTATCATGAATTATCTCAGAGAAAAACAAGGACAGGGTTTCCCATACCAGACAGTGTTAACTGATAGGAACTGTCAGCAGGGATTTCTCTGAATTAAGTCCATAATTACTCTGAAGATCTACATGCACAAGATCAAGTTTTGCTTGGAGAAGTGGATGTAATATGAGCTTGCTGAAACCAGAGCACACTTGAGCAAGTATGCCAAGCTTAACAAGGCTCCATGATAAAATGAGAGTCGGGCAATCTTTTGGCTGACATGAGTACCTAGGAACTGATGGGAAGCTACCTAAACAGCAGCCCTTCCTCTCTCTAAGTTCCTTTGAAACAAATCTGATTATGGAATAAAATATGTATTAGATGTTATTAAAATGTTTAATGTCTCCAAAAAAATCGAAGGGTATTTCCATTTTTGTTTTCCATGCCATTTCTGCCTTGTAAGAGAACTACAATGACTAAGAAGTCTTTCAGTGTCTTTGGCTAGCCTCAACTTAACTTTCTCAGCAAATCTGGCTATGGCTTACTCATATTATACTATATTCAAGGCACTATTCTTAAGAACTCCCTCTAAAAAATAGAAGTCACTGTAAATTTCCATGCTTCTTCACAAAGATCAGTTACAGCAGCCTGTATGTAGGAATGCCTCCAAGTTTTCCAGATCTAATTTTGCCAGTTTCCGAAAAAAAAACAAACCCTAAACTAATCCTGTCCCAGACTCAACATTCTTCCAGAACTGGATATTGGAGGGCAGGTTTTATGCAACGCCTAAGCCAGGCTAACAGCGAGCTGCTCCTCAAAGAGGTGGTTCTGCTTCTCCTCGCTCTCCATCCTTGTGCTGCCACCTGGTTCAGAGGGCTGAAGGCTCAATGTCAGCTCCACAAGCTAAGTAACAGAATACTATTCACCACTTTCATTTCATGAAATCAGTTTTCTGGAGTTTGTTCACCTACAGTAATTGATAATGGAGTATTACAAGGCACTAGTGAAAGAAGTGGTAAAAATAGGTGGCCAGCATTAGTTGGCAAAGGAAAAACAATTAGCTCCTCCTGTAAGTGTTTAGATCAGAGCAGCTGTATCATACAACTACAGCTGGAGAGCTAAACCGTGTTCATTCTGTCTCACAAATCATCCCCACAGGTATCCTCTAGGAAAAAACCTCTGTTATTCTGATCAATTGTGTAGCACTTTCCCTA